GCTATCAAAGACTTCTACACACACACACACACACACACACACACACACACACACACACACACATATGTGGCCAATGGCCAAAGAATGTAATGTTCTTTCAACTCACAGGCCTGCCTTGGTTCTTGAAGGCAGAAATACCCATGTGTGAGTGATCCACGATGTACAAGCGCTTCTTTTCCAGAGCTTCTCCAAGCTTGACACCTAGTACTGGTTCCAACATGTCGGCCGTGACACCAAACCTGAGAAGATATAAAAAAGGATAAGAAGAAGAATTCAGAGACCTCCATACCTTCACGAAATATCGATCTAGAGATATTGTCTTTTTTGTATTCGTCTCCTTGATCATATAAGTAAGGTTGTAATTTATAGTACACACTGTCAGACACACAAACACAAACACACACACACAAACACACACACACACACACACAGAGAGAGAGAGAGAGAGAGAGAGAGAGAGAGAGAGAGATGCACACACGCGTGCACGCACACAAAAATACATAAAACATACATATATGTATGTATAAATATACACACAGAGACACATGCAGATAGACATATACACACAAAACAAATTTAAAGAGCGATAATCTAACTTTTTGGGAATCTTCTGGCAGAGTTTTATAGAGGTTGGGTTGACTCCGCGCAGTCGCTGTGCACCAAACGTTACGTCTGCTTCCCACCGGAACATGCCCTGTGGAATCACGTTTTTAGTCACATTCAATGAACCAAAAATGAATACAACTTAGAGTTTAACTAGTTTAAACTTAAACTTTTGGTCCAACACAAAAAATTCTCTCATCCAGAGCTTTCGACAAGTCACTCTGGTCTTCCTCAGTAGAGATGTCTCTAAAAGCCAGGTTTCAAGAACATACACGGCCTAGCTCTGCCAGTTCAGGGGTGTCTCACATCCACACATCCACATATAGAGTCACCCGGACATTTTGTTTCACTTGACACTGTAAGGATTTTAGACACTGAACAAGACTATTTCTTGAGAGGGGTGAAGGAAGCCATGTACATCAGGGCCCATCACCCTTCATTGAACCGTGACGTGACATCATCTACCAGATACCTTTGACCCAGTGTTGACGTCACACTTCAAAGAAGCCACGTGACAAGCTTCACTGGGTCAGTCTACTGAGGAAGACCAGAGTGACTGGTCGACAGCTCTAGGTGAGAGAATTTTTTGTGTTGGACCAAAAGTTCTAACTTTAAACATGTAACTACCAACACAGATGAACTTTCATGATAGAACTTAACTCGTCTATTCTAACAAGAGTGCAAAATTATTGATTCAGCATTTTTGGCGTACTTACCTTCGGAACTTTGCCAGGTGGAAAGGCTTCCTTGAAACTCTGAAAGCTGTTGAATCGCCCGCCAAAGATGTGAATCGGCAAGTTGGTAAACCCCATCATGAGTTTAGTTCTTTTCATATCCCTCTACGTGATATAAAAAAATATTTCTTAAGATCAATTGTGAGACAATTATGATAACTTAAAATGCAGCATAGATGCTGCAATCCTAATTCTACAGAGGTTATCTACTGCTTTGGCTAGAACATAATATTATGTACTTTATCTCAATTTTAACCTTTTTAAAGCTTAAAATTGAGATAAAATTAGGTTTAAACCTAATTTTAAAATAAATAGAGATTAGAAAGGGATTGAATAGTTTTGCACAAAGTCACGTACCTTTCGTTGTTTGGTAAACTCCTCCTCTACAGGCAATGTTGCCACCTATCCCAAGATTTAAAAAAGAACAATAACATAAACATAAAGAAACTTTGTACATTTCCGTAGGTCTACATTTGCATATCAATTAGCACCTGTAATATGTGAATACGCCAGCTTGAGTTTAATACATATATATTGGCCACAGGCTTCGATCCGACAAATTTGAATGGTTCAGAAAAACCAGTTGTTTTGAATAGCGGGGGGGGGGAGAGACTTCATGCAGATGTGGGGAGGGGTCGATCCAACTTTAATTTATCGCAGTGGGAACGTTCCCGACCCGGCTCGGTTCCGCTCCCGATCCGGCTCAACAACAATCCTCCTTGTGAGGTGGTTCTAATCTCCAAGCAGATCCCTTTCGGTGGCAAAAAGACAGTGCCAAATTGGCCAGGCAGTATGCATTAGCCAGAGAATGTCTCCGGCCACCGACGGGTGGGGGTAGCGACAAAAAGAAACGGCCATATATAAAAAGCTAACGATCATTCTCCCACAACCTCTGCTTGGAGAGTAAGATACTTCGTTGCCGAGCCGAACCGTTCAGGCGCGGAGCGTTCCCACGGGGTTTAAGTTGATCAACACCGGTTCGAAGCCGGACGGAAGTCAATCTATCCGGACAATTTTATCCTAGTAGGGGAAAGGCCTTGGATACCATTATGTTAATGACAGGGAGAGTCCTGATGTACAAAATTTAAACATACCCCAGGTAGCATTCCAGGAGCTGATACAGACGCGTAACGCTCTTTCATCATCAACAGTTCATCCGCGCGGTCCTGAGGGTTCAGGTCGTCCTGAGGGAGCTCACAATCTCCGGGAATCAACCACACGTGATCATCTGTAGACAGGAACGACCATATCATAATGTATTATGGTTGAGTATTACACCAATGGGAGACACCTTTGCACCAGCAAGGGACATGTTAATCCAATTCAATTTTAAGGAAAACAAAAAAGACTCACTTTCCTTGATCCAGCGATGGACAGGGAAGTCGTATGTCGGTCCGTTGTTGTTCGGGTTGAGTTGTACGGAGATTGTGTCACAGTACCAGTCGTCATCAGGGTCGTCTTCCCGCCACAGCTCCAGCTGAAGAATCGGGGCTGCCACTTTCACGTCATTCAGTCTGTACCTTTAAAAACAAAAAGAGTATTCAAGCAATTGTAAAACATTTCACTGTAAAAGGACAAAGTTACGAAAGGTAAATTGTAAAGTCAGATATGGCCAGCCGTCAACAGCCAATCGCGTTGCCGCCTACGACCAAGAGGCGACATGATTGGCTGGTAAGTTTCCCCCTATCTACATGAGCAAAGTGGAATGTCTAATCAGATGACGGGTGACCACCACTGACGCAGCGAGAAGCACAGATCGCAGGCCGGTACAACACGACCGTTGCTTGACATGCACAAGCTGCAGGCCTGGCCTGTGACCCCTCCAGAGGAAACACTGGTCTTGACTCTAGGTAAAAAAAAATGGTGTCTACTTACTGCCCCTCACGCCCTCTTTCAAAGTCATCTTTCCACCACACATCCAGCTGACATGCCTGGGACTGATGACCTTTGTCGTCATACAGACGGATGTAGACGTCGGAATCAGTTCCAGCCCCACAATACGTCCCTGTCTTCGTTTTGACGAGGACGTCAATGCCATCAACGTCAGGACTTTCATCCATTCCCTGTAGATACATGTAAACAAGGTCGTATAATAAAGGGTTAATGCCCCTCCCCGAGGTGTATATATGGTGAGATAATCCCTGGTCATGTGGGATCATCATCATCATCATCATTCATCCTCCGTAGAGGTGGAGCATACAAAGTTAGTTCGCCACAACTGTCTGTCATACATCACTGAGAAAAGTTCATGTCCCTTCAAGCCAGTTATGTTTGGGCGTCCAACTCTTCTCTTACAGGTATCAGGGTTCCAGAGTAGAAGCCTACTGGCTGGTTCTTCACTACGTATTACATGACCGGCCAAGCTTAGTCGTCGACATTTGACTACTGAAGTTACATTTGGTAGCGAACCGTATAACTGTTCATTAGTAGTGTGTTTCCACCATGGTGTATTGAAAACCACTCGCAACATCTTCGTGTATGTTAACCACCGAATAAACCACAGAGTGGGCGTAGCGAATTTCAAACGAGGTGATTTAATGAGGTGGTTATCGCACCTGACCATGGCCAGGGATTATGTCACCATATACACCGAGTATTGTCCAGTATCAGGGTGAAAGGGAATACTTCCGAAGTTGTGCGAAGCTGTACTAAGTTAGAAATGACTAGGCCTTACTTTGTACAGAGGACGGGGCTGGTGTACGATGTACAGAGTTCCTGTTTAAAAGTTATTTTCAAAAAATTATTCAGCATAATATTTCAAAACTTACGTCAGAAATGTCATCAAAGTGTGACGGAAAAATCTCTTTCAAGTCGTCAGGATGTTGCAGCCAGAAGGACCTGACTTTCACTTCGTTGTCAGGCTGACCGAGACGAGCTGCCTTCGACCCAGTCCACACCGGCGGCTCCTGGAGTTCCCATCCGAAGAACGTGTTGAGGACGGCGATGCTGCCTTTGATCACGGACAGCGCGACGTCTCTACCCGGGCACATGTGGTTGTTGACCGCGGGTGTATCCGTGAGTCGGCCGTGAAAGATGACGTGGTGTTCCCGGCGAGCTTCTCCCTCTGGACCGAGAAACCTCCGCCACACGAAGTCGTCTGGTTTGTCGAACACAGCGGGATCCCGTAATGCCCAGTAGGAACTGGCGTACACACGTTCGCCATCTTCAATCTAAAATGGGAAAATATAATAGCTTGCTTATGGATAAAATAAATCACAAAACTAGCTATAACCAAAAGCCTATATTTTACTCTGAGGCTAGCTGGTGTGTTTATTTGCGAGTGTGTGCGCTATGTGTATGTGTATGCATGTGCGTGTGTGTGTGGGGGGGGAGGGTCCATTCGTGCGTGATGTACATTTTCCTAAGAGTGCAACCTTTGAGTGTTTTCCTATGAGTGTTACTCACCTTGGCCTTCTTTGAACCACTTGCAGTTGTGTACTTCACAGTTGTTTGGCGTGTCGCAATGGTGCTCCAGAAGTCCGGGCTGGGACCGGTTCGCAGTACTTCCAACACGAAGCTCTCAGTTTTCGGCATGTCCTCCAGGGCCGCCCGGGTCAGGCCTCCGTGTTTCCTCAGGGCGGCAAGCGCTTCCTCCCGTAGCTCCTCCCGGTCCTCCGCGCTGATGGTGTCCAGCCGGGCGAAGGAAGGCACCAGGTTTACTGTGATGCCGCCGACTCCGTTGAACATTACCGAGAAGAGCAGTTGTCCCGTGGTCGACGCCTCGTCTAATCCATGTGATCTACCCAGATCTATCAGATGGCGGTACCTTTGAATAAAAAAAGATGGAGGACTTGAATATGATTGTCCCCTACAACGACTTAACAAAATCAAGTGGAAAAATTCTAAACAAGAATTCGGAGATCTCACACCTCCAGGAAATATATAGATATTTTGCTTGTGAATTCCTACCCAATGTCCTCATTATGCAAATTAACATAATATATGTATAGTGATCCAACTTACACATGTCACGAGGTATGAAATTCCCATCATTTACCATTAAGAAATCACAAAATGTTCACATTATTTATGCAAATTAGGTCATTACTTGCATAATTTGTATCTGTTGATCCATCTCCGTAACACTGCAATTATAGAACTTCCTCTTTAATTATGCAAATTAAGTCTTCATTTGCATATTTTGCATTTTATTATGTAACCTTTCTATAAGCTACCTACATACCAAAAATGAATATACGTAATTCCTTTCTGGACTTATCTGCTTTAAAAGATTTCGCCAGAAACTCCCCTGTGGAATAAGCTGCTAGGGGGACAAATCCCATACCATTTCTGACAGGAAAAGCTATCTATCACCAAAAATCAAAGTTCTGCAGTACGAAGGTCAGCCACCAGGAAGCCCATATATTTGACTTTGACCTTTGTCTTACTACAACCTACCAACATACCAAATATCATTAAAATCGTTCTGAAGTTATGCTGACTACAAATGTGAGGAAACACACACACACACACACTCACACACACACATCAAAAACAAGGCCTCCATTTTTCATGGAGGTAAAAAAATAGAAGATAATTTGGTACGGTAAATCCTTACCACCTACCTGTCTGATGTCTTTATTTTCTTCAGGACAGACCTCATCCCCCGTCCTGCTTCAGTACGATCTTCACCCGTCAACACGGCCAAGATGTCTGATCTTAACTCAGTTGAACCTTTGATGTAGAGGTTGACATCCTCGGGATTGAAACGTGTTGATCTCCCGAAGATGGTGGGGAGAAGAGCGCTCGCCGACACTGCCATTAACTTTGATTCGAAGCCGGCTGGTCTGTTTCCCCAGGTGGCGATGTTGGACAGCACGGCATCTGCTGTTGATGCTGGAATCTCTTCGTAAGCGCGGGCGATGACGTCCATCATCAGCGCCTTGTTTCTCTCGTGGATTTTCCCGTTAGACGCGATGCAGGGGCAAACGCCCTCCGTAAAGTCCTTCCGGACTTCTACCAGCCCAAAATAGAACTCCTCCTTTCGGAAAAGGTCGATGTCAAAGACAGACTGCACGGCGTTGTTCCCGGTCACCACACGGCACGGAAAACCGATGTTTGTCTTCACGAAATCTTCTTTCCGATCAGGTGCGAATGTTTGGTTGCTGCTCACCAGCCATTTCAGGTATCCAAGTGCGTTACCCATGGTTGTATCTTTTCTGTAAAAAAAAAAATACTTCCAAGTTCCTTCAAGTTCCAACTAGTTGGACTTTAAAATCAAGTTTTGAAAAGGGTGATAACATAAATACTATATTTTGTGTGGAAATTGACTGTAAAATTGTGATTTTTTGTGTGTGGAAGTGTTTTAATTACTAGTAACGTCACTAGAAGAACTCATTCTTGAAAAGGGGAGGGATTTTTTTCACATCAAGTATAGAACAGGGATAATTACACAGAATGCCTGTATTTTTTTAGCGGAAATGTTTTGACGTAGCCGATCGAGGCCTCATTGTTGACTAGTGAGAATTTTTAATTGATGTCAAGTTAGGAAGATTCCATTTTAAACTTGGATAACTTGGCAAATAATTAAAAAATAGAACCGTCCATTTTATGGGGAGCTGTATGACTGAAATATGTTGTACATAATATGTATTTGCTCTAGAGCAAATGCAGCCTTTCTAGTTCCATTCCCCTTTTGTGTTCCCTTCTATTCGAGTGTAGTCTGTGAAGTCAGAGTGATACTAGCTAGTTCTAACGAGGTAATTTAGACACCGTACGAATCAGTAGTACAATCATGGGTGTAGAAAAAGTTCAGCACACAAAGAATTTACTTGAATGTATATTTCACAAATGACGCAAGAACAAAGACCAGAAATTTGAGAAAATAAAGACTTTTAAACTTGTTTTGTTCGTAATATTGAAAGATCTCAATGCTACCCCACGCTCACCCACATCATTTAACCTCCTTCCCCACACTAATATCAAGTTTAATGGAAAACATCTGACTCGACAATCTTGAACTTTTGTCTGACTGGGCGCCAAGTGTGAAACGGTGTTTGTTTAGCTTTGTTCAAGAATCACCCTCCGCGGCGTTCAGGTCATGTTTATGAGCAAACCAACTGCCTTTGAAGTACAAATACTTTAGCGACGTCTAGCGTAGGTGTTTTTTTACATTCCCTGCAAAACATGTTTAACCCTATCTAGACCGGGCTTTTTTGGGCTTGGTGGGACCGGGCTTTTTGGAGCTTGGCAGCGGGGGCGCTAACCTACCCTGGCTGGCTGGATCGTGTTTCGCGGGCATATGTGCTTGGCGGGCCGATAAGAAATCAGCCGCGACCCGCTTGTACTCTGGCTTTCCAGGGTAGGGCTTGGCGGGACCCCCTTCAGAAATCGCGAACGGTATGTCGTATGACCACCAAATTTTTAGAGGATGGTGTACGAGTAAAAATTTATCATATCTACAATTTTTATGTCGTTATGACGTATTATGACGTCATTATAATTTATGTCATTAATGTGATTTTATTGGCCCAAACCGTCTAGATAGGTTATTCCATGAAAACTAAATGGTATAAAACATAACTTTACCAAAAGTGATTATGACAGAATATTAGGGTGTACTTAGTCTTATGTTGCCCATAGCAACACCGGTGACGTCATAAAATGACGCCATGCATATTTAAGCTATCCGCCATCTTGGAACATCAATCTTGAATTTTCAAAAATATTTTCTTTTTTCAGGATAAAGCCTAAAACACATTGTAAACAGACAAAAGACGTTCATATGAACCTTTTTTGTAAAAAGAAATGGAAGTATTGAAAAAAAATTAACCTGTAGATACCTGTTCTAATGATATGGTCCGCCATCTTGGATTCTGGCCAATGACGTCATAAAATTAGCATAAATTATGCATTTTTAATGATAAAATTTACATAAAATTATATGGGATGTTGGCGCGGGCACTTTTAGCCCCCCTCCCCCTTTGTTTTCCTATAACTGCCCTTTTGTTCGCACTGGGGTCCGGTGACAGAATGTTACGCAGACGTTCGGTTCTCTTTGTCTCGTCATATCCCAACTGGTCTAACTTGGTAACTGTACGCTGCATTATATGTTGTGTTCCTTTGTATTCTGTGAGCCCGCAGCTCGACAATAAAGCCACATTAAGTATGAACTGAACCTGGCTTGGCGTTATTTAGATCATATAGAGTGAGAGTCCACGGTAACCAAATCCTACCACACAGATAGACCATTGTTACAATTATTGTAGATACAGCTTTCATTATTGTCTCTATGTGTGTACAGAAAGTGTACAATTGGAAATTAAGAAAGAAAGTTTTTCTGCAGTTCACCAGTGTTCAAAGACACACAGCTCACAAGCCGTTTTCGTATCGTCCTTTTGCATCGTACGTACAAGTGTACAAGTGCATAACTTTCCTATCATGAGTGGCGATGCAAACAGGGTAAGTTATTATAATGGCCGTGAACGTGCAGTTTATGTGGTAACACTTAAAACTATCTATAAAGACAAGTCAAGTAACTCAAAAAGAGGGCCAAAATGAAAAGCATAATAACAACTATCCTGTTCCACCTAGTAAGATAAATAAAACACTTTGAACACTGATTCCTGCATTTTGCGTAACCAGATTTTCTGCTGTTAACGTGGTAAATGTGGTTATTCGTTATTACATACTACCCTCCTCTCGTGAGATGAGAAGTACACACAATGGCAATTTCACGGTCAAAAGAAAACTAAAATATAAAATTCTATCCCTTTTTTGTTTACCAAATGTCGTCATCAACGCCTGAAGACAGCAAAATTACGAAGCGTCCGAAGTTAGTGCACACTGTCTAGCGTAGCCGCATTCACGAAGGTACATTCACGAAAACGTCTCACAGAGTTTGTCGCTTGTAAAGCGGTAGTCTCCACCAGACTTCTCTTGCGGGGTGAATAAATCGTAGAAATCGGCCTAAAATGGGTATTGATTGGCCAGAGAAGGTAGCCGGCCAGAGAAGCTCCATTTGCTTCTCGCGGGAGACTAGTAACGCGGAGCGTGAAGGGCTCATGAATAGTATGAATGAATTTCTTATCCAAGTATGTTGTTTACACTAATGTTCTCAAAATTCAGTCATCAAAACCTGACCACTCTCTGACAACTAGCGATAGAGCGCCGTGAGTCTTTGGAGGGTTTACCTTTAACTTTTTAGGCATAGAAGTTATCCTCAACTTTGTTTCAGAAAGAGGGTATACAGAGTTCTTCAGGACCGAAGATATATCCCTACCTTTCTTGAGGAAAAGAATATGTCCTCAGTTTGAGAGGATTGCTTGAGGTTATATCCTCATTTAGTCATGAATTTTGGATTCGAGTTTCTCGAAAGTGCAAATATTAACTCAGAAAAGGCTGCATTTTTACGACATGGAAACTTAATGTTTTGTATTTAGTTTTAAAATAGGGAATTCTAGCAAAATAGATTTTCTCTTATTATTTTCGAACCGGTTATACTTAACGTTATGGTCATGAAATAGTCCTAAACACGGATGTAGTCTGAAATAGTCTACTAAACACGGTTGGGAGGAGTTCGGCCAGTGTTCGAGAGCAAAATTTGTGAATGTGTGACAGGGGATAAGTCTATGTCTATGTCTTTTTGTCACGGTTGTGGTTCCAAAACTGGCTTCAGTCTTTGCACAAGGCTTATTTCAGACCAGTTCATTCAGAACCCACAGGGCACATTGAAATACTGTATGCCAGTGCGCAATATGTTTCCCCTGGTAAAATTGATCGAAACGAGAAGGCCGTACGTACTCACCGATGGCCCGTCGCTTTCTAGACGGTAAATATTGGCAGTGCGGTGTGGTCTGTGCGGTCTGCTCTGTGGTTCCTTGTGGGAATACGGTTGAGGAAGGTGGAGTGTGAGTGTGAGTCGGTGTATAGGACGCTACGAAAATGATTGACACATTGACCGGACTCTAAGGAACAAAAGGGTAGTTATAGGAAAACAAAGACGCTTAAGCATCTTTTGCAGGCAATGTAAAAAAAACTACGCTAGACTCCGCTGATTCAACTATTTCTATACTTCAAAGGCAGTTGGTTTGCTCATAAACATGACCTGAACGCCGCGGAGGGTGATTCTTGAACAAAGGTAAACAAACACCATTTCGATTTCCTGCCGCTGTGTCTCAGTTACTTGGCCAAAGATCTTATGTCACACTTGCCGTGCAGACAAAAGTCCAAGATTATTGTCGCAGGCTTAGTCGGAGGTATCACATTTCCATTTACGTGGCGGTATAGCGTTGCCGTCCTTCAACATTACGAACAAAACATGTTCAAAAGTCTTTATTTTCTCAAATTTCTGGTCTTTGTACTTCTCTGACATGAAACGAGCCATTTGTGAAATATGCATTCATGCAAATCATTTGTGTCCGAGCTTTTAAACCCGATTGTACTACGGAGTCTAACATAACTGGTTAGAACTAAGAGCATGACTCCGATTCACAGGCAACACTTGAGGACTCGAGAGGAGCTCGCAAAAGACGAAATGATTCGGTTTGGCACATTTCATTGTTACAGTAACTGTAAAAACAACAGCGCCTTACTGAATCATTATATGCAATTAATATGTTGTACGTAACGAGAAATGTTCCAGGGGAGCCTGTCTCCGGACTTCCTCAAGGAAGTTTGTGATTCATCTGGGAACACTAAGCTCTCTCTCTCTCTCTCTTTACCAACCTCCCCTGAAATAAAACTGTCGCTCTAGGCGCTAGTAAATACAAGTGCTGCCCCGCTAGACGTCAGGAGTGTGCAGGAAGCTAGCCCCCGCGTTAAATGCCATCCTAATGAGCAGAGTTTACAGGTTTGCTGTAATACCAGCAACTCCGTTGAACATTACTGAGAAGAGCAGTTGTCCCGTGGTCGACGCCTCGTCTAATCCATGTGACCTACCCAGATCTATCAGATGGCGGTACCGTTGCTGCTAAGTGCTCCACGTGTATTGAAGTCGCAATTTGAATGAAGAAAGAAAGAAAGAAAGAAAGAAAGAAAGAAAGACGAATGAATGTCAGTTTCCAGAATAGTTATCAAACCGTCACGCTATTCAAAGTCTCTATCACAGGTCTAGAACCTTTCCCCGAAACATGTTGGTAGTTACATGTTTAAAGTTAAAACTTTCGATACGACACAAAGATTTCTCTCACCTAGAGCTTTCGACCAGTCACTGTGGTCTTCCTCAGTAGACTGACCCAGTGAGGCTTGTCACGTGGCTTGTTTGAAGTGTGACGTCAACACTGGATCAAAGGTATCTGGTAGACGATGTCGGCCCCCGTCGCGGTTAAATGTAGGGAGGTGGGCCCTGATGTGAATAGCCTCCTTTACCCCTCTCAGGAAATAGACTTGTTCAGTGTCCAAAATCATTACAGTGTCAAGTAAAGCAAAGGTGCAAGAACTTTTTGTGTAGGATCGAAAGTTTTAACTTTAAACATCATCTCATATGTATGATACAGTATTTAATTGTGGAAATAACACCTTAGTCCTAAATAAAGACAAAACACTCATCATAGCCATTGCTAGTGTTACCTTTATTTCCAAATCTTACATGTCTATTGAACGTAAAAAAAAGCTTTAAAGATAAAAAGTTTTTGCTTTGCTGCAATGAGTGCATCAAGCATTGTAAACCAATGCTGACACACTGTCAGTAATTTCCAATGCATTTGCAAAGGAGTCAAACTTACAGGACAAGAGCTGCAGCAGTCCTGGCTATTGTAATATAAGTATTGTCTTTAGTAGGTACAATCATGAAAGCTACTGGTAGCTACTACCTGCTAAGCTGGTGTGTTACGCTAAAGGGCGGTGCTGTATCCAGAACCATGCCTTTCTATTTCTATGCCTGAATGGGTTAGGGATAGGATCAGACAAGGTTCTGGATAGTTTCTGCATATCTACGAACATAGATTTGCACCCATTGGTTCTGGGTAAGCATGGACTATCCAGAATCATGCCTGAGCTCAGTTCTGGATTAAGCACAGTTCTGGATACAGCAGGCAGTTACACCGGCTACACACATACAGAATGGTTCTAATTTGCTACAGGAAAATGGCATTAGTATGTTAGGACTACTTCAACAAACTTTACTTGTGCATGTGCAAACACTTCTATACAACATCAGTGTCATTTTCTTGCAATTAATCATTGCAAAATGCAGACATTCTTCTTTTCCTGGTGCAATTTAGATGTCTGAACCTTTGTTACAGTAGTAATATGAGCTAATGATTTGTGGGAATGTGTTCTTCTAAAAGTCTTTGCGAAAGATAGGTTCTTATGAAAAATGTCATTGTATAAATTTTAAAGCTAAGTCCCTCTTGTACTCGTATGTAGTCAGGAGCCATCTAGTGATCCATGTTAGATCTGCATGCAAGAAGATCTGATGCTGTGATCTGGAAAAAACAATCCACGATCCAGCCTCTCTGAATGTACATGTACGGCTTCACATAACTATCCATTTTAAATCTCAGGTAGCCAACAACTCTTTACAACTGGACTTCTGACAACTTTTCCTCGACAATTAGCATCAATTTATCATGAATGACCATAGTTAACATAGCCAATACCACCTTTCAATTGCTTGATTGTTATTAACTTGTAATGAAAAAAAATCATACTCCTGATTTGTGGTTGGAGTCAGCTATGATTGGCACTGTGCAGGTTCTACTGATTTTATTGAAAATACATTAACAAGCCAATATTTCAAGATTTCTTGTTTATACTGTTACTTAAAATCGTGGTCAACCTTCTTAAAATGCAAGTTAGAGATGAGATTAAATCCTGGAACAAAGTCAAGATATATTATTTGCCCAAAATACAGTTTCTATACCTATACACCATACAAGTCTTCAAGCAGCTCCAGCTTATCACCAATACAGCAGGCCTTAAAAATTATGCTAGTCAAGATTTAAGTGAAAGAGACACTTCTAATTACAAATGTATGCCAGTCAAACTTAAATTTTTGCATCCTGACTTCATTTGTATCCTAGTAAGAAAGATCCGTGTACAACCTAATGAAAATTGAATTGTTCTTCGATTCCAAAATTTGACTCGCCGGAATGTTCGACCAAATCTCTGAGTCTTCATCCCCCGTACCAAAAATGGATCTATCCTTGGCACAGGAGCCAAAAATGTACATTTTTGGTCCAGAAATAGCCAAAAGCCTTATTTACACAACTTTAAAGTCATGTATGTCAAAAGTGTGAATGACATTCTTTGGACATGTGTCCAATGTATCCCCATAACGAATTTCCGGTCATTCGGATTTAATATTAGGGCACAGGAGCCAAAAATGTACATTTTTTGTCCGAATATAGCCAAAAAGCCCTATTTTTCACAATTCTAGAGTAGTGTAACTGTCAAAACCTTGAATGAGGTTTTGTAAACAAATGTCCAAGGTATCCCCATACCAAATGTCCAATTGGCCATTGGTATTTTGTTTTTTGAACATTCCATGAGGATACCTTCCTAGCTGGCCATCACTTAGAAACATAGCACAGAAACATGCCAACCATATAAGCTTCTCTACAGCCAGGTGGAGAGGTTTACAGCAGTCTGCAATTTTTCTTTTTCTTTGGAGCTTTGGTGGGACACAGCACCGCACGGATGGCCTCGTCAAAAACTGTCTTCAGTCCCTTCTGAGTCAGAGCAGAGCATTCCAGGAACTTCACAGCACCTACATGGCAAGGAGAGACATGGGTCAACTAGGGCTGTACAGTGTGGACCTGAAACTAGGGCTGCAGACCTGTATGTAACAGAGGTTTAGGTACAGTTCCTGACATGTACCTGTACCTGAACAATTTGCAATTGACAAATTAATATGATCCTCTGAACTTTCTCAATAACAAGAGAAACAGTAGAAACAGTAATAAACTTGACAGAACCTTTATTCAAATACAACAGGACTGAACTATGCGTCTTTTCAAACAAAACAGAACCATGTGGATTGTTTCTTGTTGAATTCCTTGTGTCCTACAATACTAGATTGTCCCTGAAAGATCTGTTGCATATAGTCCCAGTGGACAGCCCTACTGCACAGTTGAATTACCTTAAACTGCCTGCATTACTGTCTGTAAGTAGAGTTACAGTAATAGTATTCCTCTGGTGTACTTCCAAACAATTTTCTAATGTGAATGTCGTTCAGCACCAAGGACAAATCATTTCATTGTGTCAATGGTCTGAATGTTAAATGCATAAAGGCTATCTTCCACCCAAAGATCATGACCATAGCATGTTGGGGACATTTGATATGAAACCTGCTGCAAGTTTGATATGAAAGTTCTGCTGTAATGCCATGGAAAGCCACTCACCATAACCAGACTTGTCCTTCCTTCTCATGACATGTATACTTAGACATACAATATACAAGTGTCACAAAAATCCAACCACAACTTGAGTTATGCTGTCCACACACACACACACACACACACACACACACACACAGTGACACAAACAGTACAGAACTTTCTTAATTCAACCAGAACTTCTTGAGTTATGCTGTCTACACACACACAAATAATATACAATACATAACATTCTTGAAACTATAATCTCATACTTAGACATAATACAGTATTCAATTATGGAAATAACACCTTATTCCTAAATAACGACAAAGCACTCGCCGTATCCATTGTGTTACCTTTATTTCCAAATCTTATTTTCAAATACATGTCTATTGAACGTAAAAAAAAAGCTTTATTGATGAAAGTTTTTGCTTTGCTGCAATGAGTGCATCAAGCATTGTAAAACAATGCTGACACACTGTCAGTAATTTCCGATGCATTTGCAAAGGAGTCAAACTTACAGGACAAGAGCTGCAGCAGTCCTGGCTATTGTCATATAAGTATTGTCTCTAGTAGGTACAATCATGAAAGCTACTGGTAGCTACTACCTGCTAAGCTGGTGTGTTACGCTGAAGGGCGGTGCTGTATCCAGAACCATGCCTTTCTATTTCTATGCCTGAATGGGTTAGGGATAGGATCAGGCATGGTTCTGGACAGTTTCCACCTATCCAAGAACATAGATTTGCCCCCAGGCATGGACCATTGGTTCTGGATAGGCATGGACTATCCAGAATCATGCCTGAGCATAGTTCTGGATTAAGCACAGTTCTGGATACAACAGGCAGTTACACCGGCTACACACATACAGAATGGTTCTACTTTGCTACAGGAAAATGGCATTAGCATGTTAGGACTACTTCAACAAAGTTAACTTGTGCATGTGCAAACACTTCTATACAACATCAGTGTCATTTTCTTGCAATCAATCATTGCAAAGTGCAGACATATTACAGTTCTTCTTTTCCTGGTGCGATTTAGATGTCTGAACCATTGTTACAGTAGTTATATGATCTAACATAATGATTTGTGTGAATGTGTTCTGCTAAAAGTCTTTCCAAAGGGGATCAAACATAAATGCACATTTTAAAACCTAGAACCAAGTTTAGTTACTTAAAAACTGGGTATTATATCATGTAGGTTAACCTGTATGAATTCTGAATTCATTTTTGTTTCATGTTTATAACTAAGTTTGATATTTTCAGTCAAGTACGTTTTGCGAAATATAGGTTCTTCTGAAAAATCTCCTGGTATAAATTTTAAAGCTAACAGTCTTTCTTGTACTGGTATGTACTCAAGAGCCATCTAGTGATCCATGTTAGATCTGCATGCAAGAAGATCTGATGCTGTGATCTGGTGAAAACATTCCATGATCCAGCCACTCTGTAACTCTGAATGTACGGCTTCAAATAACTATCCATTTAAATCTCAGGTAGCCAACAACTCTTTACAACTGGACTTTTGACAACATTTCCTCGACGATTAGCATCAACTTAGCATGAATGACAATAGTTAACATAGCCAATACCACATTTCAATTGCTTGATTGCTAAAAAAATCATACTTTGTTTGCTTGAGGAAACCTCCTGGTTTGAGGTTGGAGTCAGCTATGATTGGCACTGTGCAGGTTCTACTGATTTTATTGAAAATACATTGACAAGCCAATATTTCCAAATCTCTTGGTTGTACTGTTACTTAAAATCGTGGTCAACCTTCTTAAAATGCAAGTTAGAGATGAGATTAAATCCTGGAACAAAGTCAAGATATATTATTTGCCCAAAATGCAGTTTCTATACCTATACACCATACAAGACTTCAAGCAGCTCCACCTTATCACCAATACAGCAGGCCTTAAAAATTATGCTAGTCAAGATTTAAGTGAAAGAGACACTTCTAATTACAAATGTATGCCAATCAAACTTCAATTTTTGCATCCTGACTTCATTTGTATCCTCGTAAGAAAGATCCGTGTACAACCTAATGAAAATTGAATTGTTCTTCGATTTCAAAATTTGACTCGCCGGAATGTTCGACCAAATCTCTGAGTCTTCATCCCCCGTACCAAAAATGGATCTATCCTTGGCACAGGAGCCAAAAATGTACATTTTTGGTCCAGAAATAGCCAAAAGCCTTATTTTACACAACTTTAAAGTCATGTATGTCAAAAGTGTGAATGACATTCTTTGGACATGTGTCCAATGTATCCCCATAACGAATTTCCGGTCATTCGGATTTAATATTAGGGCAGGAGCCAAAAATGTACATTTTTTGTCCGAAAATAGCCAAAAAGCCCTATTTTTCACAATTCTAGAGTAGTGTAACTGTCAAAAGCTTGAATAAGGTTTTGTAAACATATGTCCAAGGTATTCCCATACCGAATGTCCGATTGGCCATTGGTATTTTGTTTTTTGAACATTCCATGAGGATACCTTCCTAGCTGGCCATCACTTAGAAACATGGCACAGAAACATGCCAACCATTTTAACTTCTCTACAGCCAGGTGGAGAGGTTTACAGCAGTCTGCAATTTTTCTTTTTCTTTGGAGCTTTGGTGGGACACAGCACCGCACGGATGGCCTCATCAAAAACTGTCTTCAGTCCCTTCTGAGTCAGAGCAGAGCATTCCAGGAACTTCACAGCACCTACATGACAAGGAGAGACATGGGTCAACTAGGGCTGTGGACCTGAAACTAAGTCTGTGGACCTGTATGTAACAGAGGTTCAGGCACAGTTCCTGACATGTACCTGTACCTGAACAATTTTCAATTGACAAATTGACATGATCCTCTGAACTTTCTCAATAACAAAAGAAACAGTATAAACAGTAATAAATGCATCTTTTCAAACAAAACAGAACCATGTGGATTGTTCCTTGTGTCCTACAATGCTAGATTGTCCCTGAAAGATCTGCTGCATATAGTCCCAGTGGACAGCCCTACTGCACAGTTGAATTACTTTGAACTGCCTGCATTACTGTCTGTAAGTAGAGTTACAGTAATACTATTCCTCTGGTGTACTTTCAAACAATTTTCTAATGTGAATGTCGTTCAGCACCAAGGACAGACCATTTCATTTTGTCAATGGTCTGAATGTTTCGTTGCATAAAAGCTCAAAGATCATGACCATATATACCATGTTTGGGACATTTCATATGAAACCTGCTGCAAGTTTGATATGAAAGTTCTGCTGCAATGCCATGGAAAGCCACTCACCATAACCAGACTTGTCCTTCCTTTTCCTGACATTTATAGACATACATTGTACAAGTGTAATAAAAATCCAACAACTTGAGTTATGCTGAAGTACAGTGTGGACCTGAAACTAGGGCTGCAGACCTGTGTGTAACAGAGGTTTAGGTACAGTTCCTGACATGTACCTGTACCTGAACAATTTGCAATTGACAAATTAATATGACCCTCTGAACTTTCTCAATAACAAGACTGTCAAGAGAAACAGTAGAAACAGTAATAAACTTGACAGAACCTTTATTCAAATACAACAGGACTGAACTATGCGTCTTTTCAAACAAAACTGAACCGTGTGGATTGTTTCTTGTCGAATTCCTTGTGTCCTACAATACTAGATTGTCCCTGAAAGATCTGTTGCATATAGTCCCAGTGGACAGCCCTACTGCACAGTTGAATTACTTTGAACTGCCTGCATTACTGTCTGTAAGTAGAGTTACAGTAATAGTATTCCTCTGGTGTACTTTCAAACAATTTTCTAATGTGAATGTCGTTCAGCACCAAGGACAGCTATCTTCCACCCAAAGATCGTGACGATAGCATGTTGGGGAAATTAGATGTAAAACCTGCTGCAAGTTTGATATGAAAGTTCTGCTGCAATGCCATGGGAAGCCACTCACCATAACCAGACTTGTCCTTCCTTTTCCTGACATGTATAGACATACATTGTACAAGTGTCATAAACATTCAACCACAACTTGAGTTATGCTGTCCACACAAACAAACAGTACAGAACTTTGTTGATTCAACCAGAACTTCTGGAGTTATGCTGTCTACACACACAAATACAATACAATACATAACATTCTTGATGAAGGAAAATATAATTTCATATTGAATCATGATACAGTATTCAATTATGGAAATAACACCTTATTCCTAAATAATGACAAAGCACTCGCCCTATCCATTGTGTTACCTTTATTTCCAAATCTTATTTTCAAATACATGTCTATTGAACGTAAAAAAAGCTTTATTGATGAAAGTTTTTTGCTTTGCTGCAATCAGTGCATCAAGCATTGTAAAACAATGCTGACACACTGTCAGTAATTTCCAATGCATTTGCAAAGGAGTCAAACTTACAGGACAAGAGCTGCAGAAGTCCTGGCTATTGTAATATAAGTATTGTCTCTAGTAGGTACAATCATGAAAGCTACTGGTAGCTACTACCTGCTAAGCTGGTGTGTTACGCTGAAGGGCGGTGCTGTATCCAGAACCATGCCTTTCTATTTCTATGCCTGAATGGGTTAGGGATAGGATCAGACAAGGTTCTGGACAGTTTCCATTTATCCAAGAACATAGATTTGCCCCCAGGCATGGACCATTGGTTCTGGATAGGCATGGACAATCCAGAATCATGTCTGAGCATAGTTCTGGATTAAGCACAGTTCTGGATACAACAGGCAGTTACACCGGCTACACACATACAGAATGGTTCTACTTTGCTACAGGAATATGGCATTAGCATGTTAGGACTACTCCAACAAACTTAACTTGTGCATGTGCAAACACTTCTATACAACATCAGTGTCATTTTCTTGCAATCAATCATTGCAAAATGCAGACATATTACAGTTCTTCTTTTCCTGGTGCGATTTAGATGTCTGAACCATTGTTACAGTAGTTATATGATCTAACATAATGATCTAGATTGTGACAATCAAACAAAAATGGAACTAGATAAATTTAAACTGTAGGGCCAGTCTCGGGTAAAATTATTTACTACATTCCTTGTAATAAGAAAGTGTATAACCAAACTTTTCCCTGGCTCTACTTCTAAACTGTTTGTGTTACATACATGTTTAACCTTAAATGGCATTTGCTCCTATTTTTATACATCACTTTTATTGTAACCAATTCATCTGAAGTTCAGTCTCACTACATCTAAGCTCAAAACAATGATTTCTTATTTACAAGCACACAAATTAACTTTCCCTTGTGTTGCCCCTTCTAACAATGTCCCCCAAAAGTTAGTCTTGCTGGGTTTTCACCATGGACCCTTAGCCTTTCCATCTTGGTAAATATCTCTCTTGAGACTAACATATATGTTTTCTAACAGACCTTTCCGTAAACAACTGCTCTAATAAGATGAAATTGTGAAGTTTAGTTGATCCAAAACATTGATTGTTTGATTTTTTTGTATTATCCCAGTACAGCAATACCACCAATACAGTACATGTAAGTCACATATACATGTACACCTGCATTCAACTCTTGCTACTACACGTACTATTGTGGGAATGTGTTCTGCTTTCGTCTTTCTAAAGGGGTTCAAACATAAATACACATTCTTAAATTTAGATCCAATTTCAGTTACTTAAAATGTGGGCATTACATCATAGAGGGTAACCTGTATTAAAGGCTATTCTGGGTTCATTTTTGTTTCATCTTTTTCACTAAGTTCGATACTTTCAGTTATATATGCTTTTCAAAGCATAGGTTCTTCTGAAAAATCTCCTGGTATAAATTTTAAAGCTAACAGTCTTTCGTGTACTGGTATGTACTCAGGAGCCATCTAGTGATCCATGTTAGATCTGCATGCAAGAAGATCTGATGCTGTGATCTGGTGAGAACACTCCATGATCCAGCCACTCTAACTCTGAATGTACGGCTTCAAATAACTATCCATTTAAATCTCAGGTAGCCAACAACTCTTTACAACTGGACTTCTGACAATTGAATTTTTCCTAAAAAATTAGCATAATCTTATCATGAATGACCATAGTTAACATAGCCAATACCACCTTTCAATTGCTTGATTGTTATTAACTTGTAATGTAAAAAAATCATACTTTGCTTGACAAAAGTCAAAACCTCTTGGTTAGTGGTTGGAGTCAGCTATGATTGGCACTGTGCAGGGTCTACTGATTTTATTGAAAATACATTAACAAGCCAATATTTCCAGATCTCTTGGTTATTCTGTTACTTAAAATCGTGGTCAACCTTGTTAAAATGCAAGTTATAGATGTGTAATGACTTGAAATACTGGAACAAAGCCAAGTTACATGCCTTGCCAATATTCTTTGCCAAAATCCAGTTTCTACACTTCACCATACAAGTCTTCAAGCAACTAGTCTCTTCACCAATACAGCAGGCTGTAAAAACTCTTCTAGGCAAGATTTCAGTGAAAGGGATACTTCCAATTACAAATGTATGCAAAGCAAGCTTCGTTTTTCCATGCTGACTTCATTTGTATCCTAGTAAGAAAGATCCATGTACAACCTAATGAAAAGTAAACTGTCCTCTGACTTCAAAAGTTGACTCACTGGAATTTTTGACCAAATCTCTAGTCTTCATCAGCCTTCTGATCCACTTGCTGTAGCTTTTTTTCACACGTGTGACGTAAGCAGTGGGTCAAAGCTTGTCAGAAGTCTGTATCGCCCCCCGTCCCGGTTGAGAGAAGGCTCGTGCATGTATGCCCTGATGTAGAGGCTTCCTTCACTCCTCTGACAGAATACCAACCTTCTCTCAACCAAATCGTGGAGCGGTACCAACTTCCAACCAACTTTAACCCAGTGCTGACGTTATGTGTGCAAAAAAAATCATGGATGTACAACACTTGGGTCAGAAAGCTGATGATGACAAAGTCTAGAGATTCGTTCAAAAATTCCGGTGAGTCAATTTTATTAGTTGGAGAACAGTTTAATTTTCATTACCCCACTATGTAATCTACCAACTCAAATGAACTTCCATGCTCCATTATAACTGTTCAGTGTTCAGCCAAGGGTAAAATGTTGACCACTACTGCTATGCCTTTTGCCCATTTTCTACAGTGCTGTGCAAAGTGACAATCAGTAAGATTCCCCATGTTTGGCCTTTATGTTAGTCTTAAATGCTTAGAAACTTTGCCTTCTACATTACTGCATACGGCTGACAACTTTGGGTAAATTGTAAGAAATAAATCCTGCATGCAAAACTGGCAAGATCATCACAATTGGCCTGGGATTTTGGACATTCCATGAGGATACCTTTCTGGCCACCACTTAGAAACACAGCACAGAAACATGCCAACCATATAAGCTTCTCTACAGCCAGGTGGAGAGGTTTACAGCAGTCTGCACTTTTTCTTTTTCCTGGGAACCTTGGGGGGACACAGCACCGCACGGATGGCTTCATCAAAAACTGTCTTCAGTCCCTTCTGAGTCAGAGCAGAGCATTCCAGGTACTTCACAGCACCTACAAGACAAGGAGAGACATGGGTCAACTTAGGGCTGTGGACCTGAAACTAGCCCGCTTACTAGGACTGAGTACCTAATGGCAGTGAACCTTAATGCAACACTTTCATGCACAGGCATGATTGAATGATAAATCCACAACCAGACATTCAGTATTTTTGTTAATCATTGAGTGCACCTTGTAGCCTGTTTTTAATGTCATACCTACGTATTGTTGTGATTTGTATTGATTATTATGTGATACCCTGCATCAATTTAGCCGTATAATGGCTGTGACTGCACGGGTACTGTTTGGACAATAAACCATTTATCATTATTAGTATGTGTCACTCTCCCAATCACTGAGATATCTCGGGAAAATTACGTCTTCAACATCACTCCCGATTTCACCAGACCATATGTATTATGTTACAACCAAAACCTTAATCCGATACCATACAACAGTGCAGTGGTTTACCTGTAATTTTGCTATTCACAACAACGTTTTTTTCTCAGTCCCTTTGTCAAAGAGACACACTAGTTATCATCGGCATCAAATGTCACAGTCGGTAGGCCGGTGCACCACCAAAAATGGTCCTGAAAAGCATCATCTTGTGGCATATCCGTTCAAATATTCCATTGCACGGTCCTGAATATCGTAAACTTTAGCGGCAGCTACACTCACACACTCACTCACTGCATGGCTTAACGTCCGTTGTTCCCCGCTACATGTATCAAATGGCAAGTAACTAGCATTGACTCGCACAAATTTCGGCCTGCAACTTCCAAGCATCCACGTGATCCTTACTGATCTCTTTGCACATAGACAGGCCCTGTGGGTAGGTGAGACAAGCCTGTACTTACTGATCCCCTTGCACATAGACAGGCCCTGTGGGTAGGTGATACAAACCTGTACTTACTGATCTCCTTGCACATAGACAGGCCCTGTGGGTAGGTGATACAAACCTGTACTTACTGATCTCCTTGCACATAGACAGGTCCTGTGGGTAGGTGAGACAAGCCTGTACTTACTGATCTCCTTGCACATAGACAGGCCCTGTGGGTAGGTGAGACAAGCCTGTACTTACTGATCTCCTTGCACATAGACAGGCCCTGTGGGTAGGTGATAGTAGCCTGTACTTACTGATCTCCTTGCACATAGACAGGCCCTGTGGGTAGGTGATACAAGCCTGTACTTACTGATCTCCTTGCACATAGACAGGCACTGTGGGTAGGTGAGACAAGCCTGTACTTACTGATCTCCTTGCACATAGACAGGCCCTGTGGGTAGGTGATGGGAGCCAGTTTCTTCTCGCGCAGTTTCTCGATAGTCTCCTTGTCGTCGCGCAGGTCCAGCTTGGTGCCCACCAGGATGATGGGTGTGTTGGGACAGTGGTGGGAGACCTCAGGGTACCACTGGGGACAAGTCAGCAAGAGTCAGTAACACAACACAAAGCCATGCTGGTGTACAACTTACTCAGACTTAGGGACTCTCATATCTTTAGACAAATTTATAAGGTGTAAAGCTGTATAAAGCTTTGCTAATGTATAAGGCTCACTGCCACCATACATGTGATGGGTACTTAACCTCTATATATTGACAAGATATTGAGTGCTTCAGATAGCCTCATGGTACCGAAGCCCCAGTTGGAATTGTACAGACAATACCCAGGGTACTCTGTTCCCTTCAGTCACACATCTGATGAGCTGTTCATTTTGTACCCAGCTTTCAGAAACTTTGAACATGGCAAAAATTGTGTGATAAACTAAATGGTTTATTTATCTATTTGTAATGTTAATCTTTTTATCTATTTGATTGATATGAGTGAATGAATGAAAGACTGAATAAATGAAATTAAGCTACAGTTTATCCGGTATTTTTTCAGCCTGTAAAATTGCAAAAGGCAGGTTGACATTTTGAGCAGTCTTACAGCTTACCTTGGCACGGACATTCTCAAAGGATGCAGGGCTGATGAGGGAGAAACAGATCAGGAACACATCCTGTAACACAAGGTCAAACCAACTCAGACATGTCATACTTTAAACAGATGCTAGATGGCGCTATTCCACTCTATATTGCTTTCCACTGCAGATACTTGATCACTGATTTCTCAGAATCTTCAAGAAGGAATTTTAAAAATGTATTGACCATGAAACCTGCCAATAACATGTAAAAACATGTCGCAAATTTCATAGCCAACATTTTTCACATTGTTCTCTGGTTGAGGTTCAAAAAGTTTCCCTCTGTCTCCTTTTGTTTATCCCATCCACTATCATGTATGAGTAATGAAATAACATTGAAAACTACAATGAAGATAAATTTATTTACCTTCATATGGTCTAGCCTAACAAACTTACCTGCTCTGTTTTATTCTGACTTGGGTCAAACACATTCACATAAGGTGACCAGCCCCACTAATTCTGCCCTGCCACTTGCTACATAATGTAATCCAACACCACAGGGTATCTGCTAAACCAGTTACATGTACCATGGTAACTGTCTGGTTCAGGTTCTTGACCTCATTGGTTTGGAACAGAAGAAGAGGAAACAGAGAAAAAACAATATTTTCCTCAAGCGAAGGTGAACAAGAGTAACTCACGGTTTGAGGATAGGACAGTGGGCGTAACCTGTCGTAGTCCTCTTGTCCGGCGGTATCCCACAATCCCAGGTTGATGGGCTTGCCGTCTACCATCACGTTTGCTGAGTAGTTGTCAAACACGGTAGGAATGTACTCGCCAGGGAAGGCGTTGGTCGTGTAGCTGATCAACAGGCATGTTTTACCCACAGCGCTGGAGGGGAACATTGGTATCATCAGTAACAGTTGACTTAAAGTACTCCCAGGGCTCAAAATACTGGATGCATGTGCAGCTTAGTCAAGTTAGTGCACCCAAATGTGAAGCTGTGCACCTAATTTTTTCCTGTGGGTGCACCAGTTTATGTATGTCAAGATGCTAAATTTATAGTAGTATACAACATATTCTTAACATCTAAGTGTCTATAAAAGCAACAAAATCATTCTTGTACTACTTTTCTTTAAAAAAAGAAAAATGAAACATAAATTAGTTTTTGCTGACATTCTACTTTTTATCTTTTATATGGTGCACCCCAAAATTTTTTGGCATACCCAATTTTTTTAGGTTGGGTGCACAAGTGCACTTTTTCGCAAAAATAAATTTTGAGCCCTACACAGAATAACCTGCACCTCTTACTCTTAGCAGTGTTCTACTTTGGCAGACATTACATATTATTAAATACATATTTTGTGGAATCTTTTTACATGAACCTTCAAACAAAACACCATCAAAAACATAGAATCCCCTGTAACATAATCCACATCATTATTTTGATTGATTGTCCTGAACAGAAGTCACCTGCACTTTTGATAACTCACCTGCTGAAGCAAAGAAAAATGAAAGATATGCTCGCTAGACTCCAAATTTCTAAGAAATTTTCAAAAAATGTATGCACCTTTTACATGCAATTTGTATTCCATTGACATTTTGTAGGTCTGAATATCTAAGAAATAGGCTGCAACACTAATTCAAACATTGCAATGCTTGTTTTCAAGATTTAAGAGGTCATGACTTGTATGATGACCAACCTTTGGCCACTGTCTGTCTGTCTCAGTCTGTCTGTAAACATGCTCAGGGCTCAAAATTCATTTTGGGTAATAGGTGCACTGGTGCACCCGACCTAAAAAAATTGGGTGCACAAAACATTTTTTTTGTAGAATGTCAGCAAAAACTAGTTATGTTTAATTTCTAAATAAATGTATTATAACAATTATTTGATTCTTTTTTTTTACACTTAGATATTAGAATATGCTGTCTATGGCAATCACTCGTGATCTTTATTTGCAATCAGATACAGATTCATGTACAGATACATAGTCATGCACAGATACAGATTCATGTACAGATATACAGACTTTCCGAGTATGATGACCGTGTCAGTCCCTACACCTGAGTGAGGGTCACAGTTGACACGGTAGCCTTCGCGTGGATTTGTTTAAGGTGGATAACAGGTTGCGAATCTGAGACCCACACACTTGGGCATCCGTCTTCCCCAGCGGATCCATCGAGGGAGACGTGCTGGTTCCGGTTCGGGTGCTTGCAGCGAGCTGCCGGTGACTTGGTTACGCTCAAGTTCCGCCTTGACTACGCCAGCCCGCCTGGCGCTGCTCTCGTCCGCCAGCTGAAGACAACTGCCGTTGGAGACTTGACCCTCTAGTTGAGGGGGGATACGTGTAAAGTGCCTTTCCCAAGGGCACAACGTCGGTGCGCATGTTCGAACATGCCCCCGTGTTCCGTATAGAATATGCTGTATACTACTATTAATACATTCAGTATCTTTACGTACATAAACCTACGAAATATTGGGTGCACTGGTGCACCCACAGAAAAAAATTGGGTGCACAGCTCAAAATTTGGGTACACAAAGGTGCACATGCACCCAGTATTTCGATCCCTGATGCTGGTTGTGTCGTCATTGTTTCCCCAAGTGTTTCAAGCCATTTTTATGGACAAATTTCTGCCTTTTTAAACATGTAATGGCCTCAAAACTCATATCACAAAGGATAAAATATTAGGAGTTGTTGTTTTTGATAATTTCATTTTCAACATTTCTTCTGTGAACGATTCATGAAGTGATACAAGTTATTTTTTTAACAGAAAACCGTGCCTTTGGGGTATTTTTGTGAATGACGGGGTTTGTTCAACGATGTAAACAGAGCCAATCAAAGCTGTTTACATGAAAATTGTTAGAAAGATGCCAGTGGGGTAAATTAGAATATTTAGATGTTCCACCAATAACGTTTCTTATATCATACTTTCAACCATAGCGAGATCGACCAATGCATGCATGTGTTACCACTGTCGCAAATTCACAAGATTCTACAAACAATTATGGAGATAACGTCTCCAACAGGCAAAATTCTTATGCAACGTTGCCCAAAAATCAGAACGAAAATCGTCGAAAATCCAGCTTTTGCGCCAGCGCAGTATGTTCTGCTGACATGACCAGCGTACCCCAGGGGAACAGCCTCATTTTCATGTGTACATGGCAGACATCTTGTTTCACCAGTGTTGTTGATTTTTAGGGGGGTGGGGCGCAAGCCCTTTTCCGTAGAGCGTAATCGGCCGTTTTAATTCCACGTAGAGCGTAGACGGACCGCTCTAATTCAACGTAGAGCGTAATTGGCTCATTTTGCGTAGAGCGTATTCGCCATTTTAATCCTACGTAATGGGCTGTAGCCACTTGGAATTTATCTTAAAGTGTAATCGAGAGGTTTACGAATTCAGTGTAGAGCGTTGTCGGGACCCCCCCCCCCCCATGCAGGCCCCCTTTTAGGTCTTTATGATCACGCTAACATGAAGATGCTACTGAAGATGACAGATTATCAGATTATAATCACAGATAGGTGATCATTTCACATTCGAGAAGGACATTTCTGAATGAAACTGTGAAGAAAGCGACCATGCCAGTTTTAAAATTTGCCACCATGTGTTTGTCGTGTGTTCCGGCCTGTGTGATAACTAGAGACATTACATCACGTTATATTCTACATTTGCATGCGTATGACTACGGGATACTTCTATACATGTTCTGAGCTTTTTTTGACATGATCTGAGAACACTGGCAGATGATCAATGTCATGTGTTAACCTTCTGCATATACCATTCCTGATATATCCTCATATATGTATATACGATGAGTCATATATTTGACTTAATTCACACTGTGCCTAATCCCAGCTTTCCAAAAATGAAAAGTTTTACAAATCTTACTTTACAGTTAAGTCTGCAAACTGTACAGAGATCCTTGTGGCTAATTTATACACCTTTAACTTGTACATTATCCCTAAAAAAGGGTGAAATTTTACCTCAAAGCAAAAGAGTTATATGGTTAGATTTATACATGGTTTTCTGCTTTTGGAAGAAAACCACCATTTGAAATTTTGCTAGCTCTCCTGGTAGATGCTTTTCAATGGAAAACAGGAAACGGAAAGCTATTTATTTTGGGCGGACGTACTGTACTGTAACGCTACATCTTGTAGAATTGGCCACAGATGGAATTTACATTTTTCATGGTGGAGCTTTCAGTTTGTCCAACAAGTTAGAATTCCCGGCAGGGAAAAAACATTATCTCTATCATCCCCGCTAACCCTGAGGACATAAGCTGCTCGATTTATGGACTATCGAGGTTTATAAAAGTTACACGGAAAAAGAATTCTAAATTTTGTCGAGTAACATTTTGTCAAGCCTGGACAAGTTGGACCGACTTCCGTTTTTGTATCGAAGCCACAATTTTCACTCTAGAACAATATCCAACTAACAAACAACACTATCGACTTACCCGTCACCGACAACCACGCATTTAATGGCCTGCATCGTCCTTGTTTTTGCGGAAAACTCCGATTTTTTCAACAGGAGGAAAAGTCCAAACTTCAGGCGGAAACAGACAAACCCTTGGCAGGTTTGATGATGATGATCAATATGGCGCTCGACCCGACACACCCAGACCGTACCAAGTCAACTAACCGCCAAGCGGGAAAAAAGGCCACAATTTTTCCAGAATATCAATTAAAAAAGTATTATCATCAGAAAATGTTTGACATTTATACTAAATATTGGCATAACTAACATGTATGTCTCTTCACAATTCTAATGCAGTTTAATTGGATCACCCCTATTATCGAGTAAATGCTTCCAATAGGCAGTATGCAAATGACATCAGCGTTTTGGTCTCACACCGGCGTTGTTTTTCCATGTGAAACAGCTGCTGTCTGTCATCATACATATTTATGGTGTAGGGATGGTGGACAGGTTTTACAGGTAATGTAGTGAACAGTGTACGTGATGTAAAGTATAGAGCTTTGAATATTCAGTTAAAAGTTGAATGATGTTTCCAGAATATGACCTTCATGTCCACAGTGAGCTCTACACTGCAAATGGTCATTGAGTTATGAAATTTAGTAGATTAATAATACATGTTCATATTTTTCAGCCTCCTACTTGTATGTTAAGAAATAGACTCTACCAGTCTTTGGGAGTGGCTGGAAAAATGGAATTTATTGCAGATGTTTGGAAGTGGGCCATTGAATGTTATCTGTCTTGAAATTGATCAATTTCTGCTGTTCCTAGCCACTTCCCAAAGCCTTGTAAAGGCTAGTTAATAAACAGAAGTGGGGTAGTATGCTCTATTTAGAATCTTGCCTTTTGGTCTGCTCCCAACATTGCTAGTCCTCACCAACTTGGAGTAACAACGTCGGGAGCAGACAAAAGCTAACAAGGCTAATTATTAGCCTATATGTTCTATCCAAATAACAATCTCTAAAACCATAATGTAGATATGCATATGGACAGTGAGGCAGTTACAAAGCGTCGACATCAACTCAACGGTCCAATGCCATTACAGCGAGATAAACCTTACCATTTTGCACCCCGGGAAGGAGTGTCTCTCAAAGGGTGCGTTTATGAATATTTACCATCTATAGCTAATATATAGGGTGAAGAAGGTCGGTGACCTCTGAGGAGTGTCAGATATAGAATGAGTCGTACGCACCCAGCTCAGGGGTGCCACAGTATGCAGTGCAATTTTACGGAATACAAGTAGTTACTTGCAATCGTATTTTTAGTATACAGTGCAACTTTACGGAATACAGTGCAATCGTAGTATAATACTAGTACAGTGCAATTTTATGGAATATAGTACAATTTTACTAGTGACGTTGAATCACGTGACTTGGACCCTGCTTTCCTTGAGTTTCAAGATGACGGTCGCCACCGCTGACTTCTGTGTTTTTCGAGCGAATTCGAAATGATCCCTGTGTAGTAACATGCCCTGTGTACAGGTATGTAGTGATTTGACTAAAGGCCTATCTACGAGAACGGTCCAAATTCACTCAAAAAAACACAGAAATATGTGAGTACGCTCCGTCAGCGGCGTCCCTGGAAAGCCGGTCTAAGTAAAATTCCATATTCCATAAAATTGCAAGTTGTATACTAATACGATTGTACTGTATTCCATAAAATTGCACTGTACATGTATACTATGGTAAACTTGCACTGTATTCCGTAAAATTGCACTGTATACGGCACCCCTGCAGCTGTAACTCACGATCCCTTTGCTGCATGTAGTTTTGGCATGTCGACTAAACTTGCACGAGATACCACTGTTAATTTTCATTACGTGCACAATTGTTTTCTTTACCATACAAGTAGCAGTTTTTATAGGTCTTTACCGTATAATATTTCAGAAACACCCCTATTTTGATGGACTTGTGGAACAGGTCAATTTCACCAGCCTTTGTTGGTTGCCAGCTGTTTCATTCACAGTAGTGTCATTGCGGACGGCAGAAGAGCTGTTGGTGTTTTAAATCATCCAGACTGAGTGTAATTTCAGGAAACCTATCTGAGATTGATATTTACTGTGCATTTTCCATCATCATTTCATACTTGAAGTTGAAGTTAAACAGGAGCGTTTGGTCTGCTTGTATCAAGTTGTTTTCATTCTGTCGACATAATACACCTTGCATGAATTGGCACAATACACCTTGGCACACTCCTTGGCACAATACATCTTGGCCAGAAGTGTTACAACTTCACAGAGATTTGTGTCTAATGGACTCTTGTTTACAATTTTGTTTTGATCTGATAGGAGAGAAACTCAACTGGCTATGAAGTGCTCACCTCTGCACATTTTTTATAGCAGCCCTGATACTCTACTGTCTCTTACTGTCATATGCAATGCAAGCAAAAGACGAGGATTGTATTTCACTCCATTAGAGTTAGGTGATCGATGTTGGGATAGTCCATGTGTGGGCAGTAGTAACCGAGCATTTCCATTTCTGAAACAGGTTAATTTCGAACAGTCCATTTATACATATGGGGAGCAAGAGGGAGTGAAATATACTGTATTTGCTTGCAAATTTAGCCTTCCTTAGTCCATCCTTAGTACATCAAATTTCTCTTTTTACAGAAGAACTACTAGTAAGTGCTTTGTGCATAACCTTGACATTGAATTGAAATAGATTGTACCGCATAATTTGCCCCAGTCTTTGAACAAGATTTTAATAATAACAGTATCTCTATGTCCAGGCTGAGGTTTGGCCGCCTACTGACATTCCACAGAACTGCAGTGTTATCTGGAGTCCTGTTGGTGCTGTATAATGAGGTTCTGGTGTACTACATCAATAAAACCAGCTGGGAACTTCCTCCTGGTTTCTCACAGTCCAGGGAAGATGACAAGATAGTCCGACTTGTCATTGCAGGGGACCCACAAATACAGGTGAGATATACCAGGTACCTTTAAGAATGCTACACTAGACCCCTGACACACATAGCCGAAAATGGCCTCCCAATCACTGCCAACTAGTGCTGTGTACCGGTTCACTCAGGACTTGGATCCAGACTTGTAAGAATGTTTAGGTTCAAGTCCAAAAAAACCTAAAAGTCAAGAACCGAGTCTGGACTTATTACCATAAAAGACCATTTCACACACACGTGCACCTTTTCTTTCCAAAGCCTTCCGTAGATTGCAAAATTTTCGCTGCAAAATGAAGAAAACATTGCCATCGGGCATCGTCAAGTACAAGCCTCCATGTTATGTGACCAATTAGTCTCACCCAGACAACATTGCAAGGTTGCCAACACGCAGTTTTGTATATGCCATGGGTTTAGGTCCGGAACTAAACCTAAACCTCTGGACCTGAACCTAAATGTGGGTTTAGGTATGCAGCACTACTGCCAACTCCCCCAACCATGGTTAGGAGTAGATCATTATTAAGGTCGGCTGTGGTTGGCTCTAAGAGTTCGGCCAGGACGGCTACTGTTCATCTGTGCCAGCCGAACGTTTCAAACTTTAAAACGTTCAAGTGTGAATGGTAGGTTTTGGAGGCATTGGCTGGTGGCTAACTGGTGTAGATAGTCTGTTGAAGAATAAACCATTTTTTTATTGATTGATTTAGAGAGCCTTGTATGAGATGTAGTCTAGTACAACATCTGAGCCCTGCATGGCCAAGAACTGACAAACTCATACAAGGCTGGAGCCAGCCAGGGGAGGAGGATGGAATGATGATGATGATTGATTGATTAATTGATTTTTATAGGGGTGAAGTCTGCCATCTCTGATGACCTTGCTTTAATGTTATTTTAAGGGGGTGAAGTCTGCCATCTCTAATGACCTTGTTCTGTTTTGTGTAGTAAAGTGGATTCATTCCTCAAGCTAACTGACATCTCGCACACGACTGTCCTCCCTCAGTATCACATCTGTATAGTTCAGAACTTTCATTCAGCCTGTCCCATGACCAGTGTAGGTTACTTGGAAGTACAGTGGTTATTTTTTATTTTATGAAGATTCACCACATTTGTGGAAGGATTGACATAACAGGTGACTATCACCTCTTCAAAGATGTTAACCCCGAGGCCAGACTATAAGGTCTTTAACGTCCTATCTGAGGGACTCATTTACACCTGAGTGAAGTGAGGAAAGTCGTGTAAAGTGCCTTTCCCAAGGGCACAAGATCGGTGGCATCTGGCAGGATTCAAACCCTCACCCTCTTGAGTCTGGGCCAAAGACGCTACCGCTACGCCACACGACCCCACATTGTATACTGTTTGTTGTGTCCTACCCTCAGGGTTACCAGTATGAAGCTCCAGGATTGGTGGGTTGGCTGACCAGATGGGACTCTGATCGCTACCTCAGGATGACCTTCAGCCTGCTATACGACACGGTCAGACCTGATGCCGTCATCTTCATGGGAGACCTGCTGGATGAAGGCAGCGTGGCGTCTGATGTGGAGTACTCCGTGTATGTGCAGAGATTCTACCAGATATTCCATGTATCTGCAGGGACAAAGGTATGGTCTATTTGTACCTCATGTAGAATTAACTTTGATAGTCCACAGCAAGTAAATTTCATGGATGACATCCTCCAAATCTAATGCGATAGAGCAAAAAAAAGGAGGACCAAAAAAACAAGATTACTACATAGCATGAAAGTTCATCTGTGTTGGTACAAGCTTAAGGCAGTCATTATGAGACTACAGAAATGAGACTTACCCCAAATTTTTGGTTGACTCCATCAACCTTGTTCACGGAATGGACCCTTCTACTCTTGGAACGTGATGTCAGAGACACATGACCATAGTAGCGGGTCATACGTGCCAGATAACTTGTGTCGCCCCCCGTCTCTGTTCAGGGTAGGTCTGTGAGCTCTTATGTACATGTAGACCGCCTTCACTCCTGTTGCAAAGAAGTCCAATTCAGAATTGAGGATTTCTGTCATTCTCGTATAGAACTGATCAGCCATAGCCAAGCTATAAGCTATAAGCTGTGGGACTCATATCAATTAGGATTTTTATCTTATTGTCATCAAACTAAGTTGCTTGCTAGAATACTGTACCTACTAGGCTCTTGCTGCAGTGATGTTACATTCTGTTCTGTTTGGATACTGACTGGATGTACGTCTGTTGTAGCTGATTCTCCTTGCTGGTGACAATGACATAGGAGGTGAGGGTTCTGACATGATCACACAGGAGAAGATGCAGAGATTTCAGGAGAACTTTGCACCACTGGATGAAGTGGTGAGAGTCAAGAATGTGGACTTCCTCAAGGTAATTCTGACTGACTTTTACTTCGCATGTTCAAGATGTGCTTTAAACTTGCATTATGTAATGTATGGATGATACGAAGAGTACATTTGCTGGTCATTTCTTTACAAAGTACATGTAAGTTGAATTAACCATACTCCATTGCAAATAAGTGCTATTCATGAAGTGGAGGTGCCAAAATATGATGCCTTATGAGTGTGTTTAAAAGCTGAAAACACAGCTGTCAGCCATGTTTGTTTACATTCCGGTAGTTTGTGGTGGTACCAGAAACTGATTGTGCCTTGCTTGTGTGTGCAGTTTTAGTGCCAACCATAACTGTAGTAATTATGAGATAATTGCACAAACATGTTGAAAAGTGGAAGTAAATTACAATCATGTTGCAAATTACCATTCGTAATCATAATTTTTCAATTGAAATATTTCAATTTATGGTGCAAAAATGTTACATAATCTAATCTCAGCAAGTTTAACTGTTGTCATCACAAAACCAGTATTGTGCTAGTAAAATCAATTTGGGCAGACTCTTCTGGCAAAAGATACAGAAACTACAATGCAGAAACACCGATAGATATTCATGTACATGTACAGTAGAATTGAAACCTTCATATAACATAACTATATTTATTGGTTTATTTGTTTGTATTAACATATCAACAACATATTTCGCAGCCTTGACATACAGGGCTGAATTCTGATGATCAAGTTGTTTACAATATAAATTATTAATAGTAGGGAAATACAAATTACAATCATATCAGAATCTACATATTAATTTATATCACTTTGGTTCGAAAATTAGGTACTATTTACAATCTTACAATCGTACAAACTATGACAATCTTACGTCGTACAAACCTTATATCACTTAAGTTTTAACATATATGTAGAAGATTAGTCATAATAAATAAATAAATAAATCATCGTCGTAAATCATTTCCTGTGTCACAATAAAGTAGTGGTCAGTGGCACTTGTGGTGCTATTACTATGACGAACACAAAAATTGGACTTACCCAGCAAACAAATTGGACAACTCAAAGTTAGTCTGAAGCCCTGCTGTTGATTCTACCTCCTGACAGGTGAATCTGGTAACCCCATACCAACATGCACCTGCGGTGCCCCGGACCAGGCTAATGTCACAGCTGTCTGCACCTGTCAGGGTGCTCCTGTCACATGTCACTCTAAATGCTGCACTACTACAGACTGCAGCTACGGTGAGTTTCACATCCTCAGTCTGTTATTTCCCAAAAATTTATCAAAAATTTTACCTACAGTTTAAAAACTTGTACTGTACTATAATTTACTAATGTCACCCAAATATGGTGTAGTTAGAGTGAATTAAATTACATTCTTCACCAATTATGGTGGAGTCACAATTGTAAGCTGGGGCCCAGCAGGGCTGTTTGAATGGATGGAAACATTTTTAGAAATTCATATTTGTACAAATTATGCTTATTATTATTATCTTTTAAATGTTTTGTTGTCTTTTTTATCATACTTGTTGTTCCTGCAAATTCCCCGGCTGGGCCCTGTTTTGGAAATGTGACCTTTAAGCATTAGACATTACTTTGGACATTTTCATAATGAGATGTTTAATCGTTCTTCAGATCCTGGGCAGCTTCAGACCACAGTATGCTTTTTCTGCACATTTTCACAAGGTAAGAAATTTTTATAAGAAATCCTCTTCTTGTGACAGGGCTTGAAATACTAGGTGCATAGTATTATATACATGTACCTTATTGTATTTGTATTGAGCGGGATGGTATAACAGTATAACTACAAGCTCATACCTTTGCCAAATGATGTTAACCTTGACAACTGACAAATTGTTAATACATTGTGTAACTATAAATGACAAATAAAAGTGAACTGATGACTGCCCATTTTCAAGTGTGTATCAGAAAACATTTCTTGATGATAACTAGCAAGAAATCTTTTTGGAATCTGCCTGTTCAACAGGTGCCGACTGGGTGACTTTAAGCAATTGTGCTGTCTTTTGTAAAATGAGTGGGAATTTTGCTGTGGTTTTCTTGCTCTCTGTCTTGTCTAATGTCACCATGCTTTTTGTATGTGAAGACCATTTGTCTAAGCAGAGCACTTTTCCTTGCATTCCAAACATTGCTCGCGCCTTTGGCGCTCGACTCCTCTGGCCTTCTGTGCTCGGTCCCCATCTTAAATCATTTGTGGGCGCACTCGGGGACCAAGGCAGGCGTGGAACACTCTTTCTCACCAATTCAGATACCGAATATAGTGGAGTTCGAAAAAAATGCGTGTCAATTTACCGTTAAGCGTTACCAACCGTCCTGAATTTACCGTTAAGCGTTGTCGGGCCTGCTGAATTTACCGTTAACCGGTACTAGGACACCCCCATGCAGACCCTCTTTGGTTTGGGTTTGAATCCTAGAGACTACTGTACAACTCGCCCCGTTGTATTTCAATGGACTCTTTTTCTTCTGCAGTATGGGAAGGCAACTTACAACATTACCAGAATAATGAAGAGTGCAGGTCTGCCGTACTCAGCTGATATGGGTAAGACGCAGCCGGTTACACAGGAGTATCAGGTGCCAACATGCAGCTACAGGATGGGAACACCTGAAATCGGCTACATGGTGGTCACGATAGGTGAGTTATGGTGGTCACTATGTACATGCATATGATAATCATAATGGTAGAATTATAGGTTCAGCAGCAGAGGTTTTGTTATTTTTGCCTAGAAGGTTATGTTTTAGGTAGCATTTGGATGTTGAACAACTGTATGCATGTATGTCTGGATGTGGTTTAGCACAATCACTCTAGAAGCTAAGGATGGAGTGCAATAAAATTTGGTGGTCTTGACCTAAACTTCTGGTGTTAATCCTTTGTGTTCTTGACATGCTAGAGCCATGATTTTTTAAACTCTTGTGCAATGTGTCATAATCTCAGAAGGTGCGAAAAAGCTTCAAAAGTACAAAATTTAATGAAATCTGGTGTAAAATGGGTACCTGACTAGCACTTTGGGGAGGTAAAAGGTGGTGGAGAGAGAGAAGCCGTGCCCTTGACACAGTGGATAGCAAGTATATAGCAACCCATTGCACCTATATATGGCCTAAAAAAGGGCCATGGCACTACTTTTACATGTACCTTCCTTTTCCCCTCCAGACCCTGCAGGTGAGATGAGTACCTCTGTGGTATGGCTGCCTCGGCGGTACGTGTACCTGGGTGTGTACGTGCTGTACCTGATCCTGGTCACCCTCGGCTGGCTGGTCCAGCGTGTGTGTCGCCCCTCATCCAGACAACATCACACCACACGATGATAAACTCTATAGCTACCTGGAGCTGATATACAACTTAATGTTGATATTTATTTGAAGACAAATTCTTTCCTATAGGCCACACCAATTTAATTTGTTGGTTCTCGGATTCTCTTCATTTTTTTCTGATTTGCAAAAAAAGAAAATTCTAAATCAACTCAAAAATGCTTGTATTTTGCCCCCAACAGTTGAGGAATATCCTTTTCTTCCTAGTTGTTACAGTTTTTCCATCTATCAATGCAGTGGTTTGATTAAAAGTTCAAAATTCATTGTTTAGATCAAGGACATTATACAGATGTGCAATGTCCTTGTTTAGATATTAACCCAGCCTTTTATGTTGACTTCATGCCTCCTATCACAGCATTTGGGGCTATAATGGGATATCTAACCCTGTTTTTATTTTTTCCGCCTTTCGCTTCATATTTTTCTGGAAAAATCCAAGAAACAACAAATTAAAATGGTGTGGCCTTAGTTTTTGGCTACATACATGTATTTACATGTACATTTTATATAGTTTATTATAAAGTTTTATTTATTGGACTTTTTGTACTTTTGAATTAAAGCTCAAAATCGATTTGTAAAGGAACTGTACCATCCTGTTTTTTGTGCAATTAGTCTTTTGAGACTGACTGACAGAGATATAGATTATTATATTTATTTATCCATGTTTAGTGTTCAGTTCTAGACCAGTTTCTGGGTCTCTTTGCATGCAGGGAAAAAATAAACAAATCTGCCAGTGGGTAAAGTACATGTACAATGTAGGTAGCAACTGAAGTCATTATCATGAAGACATAGACAAACAGGAAGCAGTAGTATCAAAATACCCCTCCATGTGCAAGTTGGTGCAGGTAAAATTGGTGCCGTGCAACTAATTTTTACCAGTGTGCACCGTGCAAGTATTTTAGCTTTATCCATTACTACACTGACTTACTGCCCATAGAAATACATTGTACCCAATGAGGAACTGAAAGGGTAACAAAACCAGAATCCGGGGAGTTTTTCTTCATTTTATATGATTAATAGAAGGTTACTATCTAAGTCACTGCCATGGTTAGTTTATCCCCACAACAGTGTAAGCAAATATTGGATATAGATGTAGTTGTATTATGTACTTTTGGTTGTGTACCTATTATTTTTGGGGGGTGCAACAATTTTTTTTTTGGTGCAAGTAAATTTTTTTCCATCTGCACCAGTGCAAGTTGACCCCAAAATATATTTCGACCCCTGACATTGGCATGTATGCAGCTTTTCCTTGCACATCCCAGTTCTTCTATGACTGGGGTCTGTGGTAGTGATGAAATGTTTTCAAGGATCCAAGTTTAACTTCACATTTTTCATAATCTGCTGCAAAATGATGTTAGTATCAACATGGCTGAAAAGTTACTAGCAAAGTTCTTTACTCACCACCACATTTTTAACCGACTGTCTGTCATCTTTATCAGGGCTAATATGACTGGTTCACTGTGCAATGGAGTTAGGTGTTACTGTCGTGTGTGTATGCATTCCCAAGCGTAAAAGAATTGTGACATACATGTACATGTACATGTATGTATTGTTGCAATATAACATTATAGTGTTTCATGCGGTTCCAAAAATAAACTGTTGTTATGTATAATATATTGTTTTTTGTTATATATAATGTTAAAGAACAATACTGAACTAATTCACTAAGGGCTGAAAATTGTATTTTAATCCTTACTTTCAGGTTTACTTCTGCATTGAAAGTACTGTGTCAGTTACCCCCAGAGTTACCTCTGTGGCATTGTGTAAGCAAAGTTGCAATACCTCGCGCCATGGATGATTAAAAAAAATTACAGTACTAGGATTTTCTTCATAATTGACTTGACTAACTGTTATTCCAAAGACTTGTGTCTTTCAGCCAACACCTGTCATGTTTGTTGCAAAAATTTCTATTTCTATAAATTCAGATATACATGTATTTATTGAGTATGAGGCAAAAAGCAAAAGTTGCTTATATAACACCTTCTACTAAAAAACATACGAGTGCGAAACACATTGACAAGATACACGCATAATTACAAGATGGATAAAACCAACTTGAAGACAAATACAAAGACAAGTTGGTGATCTATCAAGTACGAGAATCTACCGGTACAGTAAATGAAGTTTTGAACTACATCAAAAACATGACAGTTTTGTAGGTGTGAGAGTGATGTGGACTCTCGAAGTAGTAAAGATTGTTATGTAGTAAAGACTGTCATTGAGATGCTGTAGCTCTACTATGTTGGACAGAGATGATAACAGAGTACTTCTTTGACTGGAATAAAGTTTACAATGTGGAAAGTAGTGCAAAATTTCCTTCTACAGGTTTTTTCCTATGTGAACAATTGTATGTATCAACGTATTTCATGTACTGGTAAATGTGTTATGTCATGCGACTTGACCTTTCAACTAGAGTTCCACGATCTCATACCTTCGCCAAATGATGTTAGCCTTTATGACCAAGACATTATAGATTAATCCCCCTGATTGTGCAAATAGGATCCTACATTGCAATAATTATATCTGTTGATCATATTCTACACCAGAACACAGTCTTGTCTTATCAAAGAATGCCATTATAGCATTTCCTCATAAATTATGCAAATGAGCTCCGTGTTTGAATAAGTTATGTTTAATTATGTTCACCTTCACATAACTTTCAAATATCCCAAGTATGAAATTCCAGGCAGTTACCACTATGTAATTATAACATTTTCTCATTAATTATGCAAATTAAGTCTTCATTTGCATAATTGATATCTGCCTGTATTTCTGCTATTCTTGATTACATATGTCACAAGCTTGAATAGTCCTTTCATGGAATGCAGCTGATTTATGGAATGTCCTCATTAATTATGCAAATTACATTAATATTTGCATGATTGTAATATTATTATGTCAAGCATCACTTCAGCTACCTACATGCCAAAAATCACAATGATCCATCAATCGGTTCTTGAGTTATCCGCCTTTAAACATTTTTCAACTAACGCCCCTGCAGTTCCTGAGCAAGCAGCTAGGGGGCCCAAACTCATGTCACTTCTTCCCCAGCACAAGAGCTACCTACCATCCAAATTTCGTCACCCTAGCGTGTCTAGATCACGAGATATTAAAACCGGAAGTTCAGCTGCAGTACCTTAACAAGCTGCTAGGGGGCCCAAAATCTAATCAGTTCCACGTCTCATGAAGACCTATCCACCTACCAAATATCAAGACAATCCATCTTAGCCTTCTTGAGTTATCGTGCTGACACACACACACACACACACAGACACACGAACGCCTACGAAAACATAACCTTCTTGGCGAAGGTAATAAACAGAAACTGAAAATTAATGTACAACACCACACTGAAAGACTGACTACTCTACTACTACTTTGACCTCCTTTGACTTCAGTGCCATGGCTTACTGGTCAGAGTGTTCGACTCGGAACCAAGAGGTCCCAGGTTTGATTCCCTTTGAAAAAGGTACCTTACACGACTTTCCTCACTTCACCAGGTGGGAATGAGTACCCAGCTTTGGTTAGGGACGTCCCTTGAATAGGATGTCCGGACGTTACATGGAGGTCCCGTGTTTGAGGAGAGCCACAGCCCACGCACGTTAAAGAACCCACAACACATTTGGAAAAAGAGTAGGGTATGGCCTGATGTGAGTGTTTCAAACCAATGACCGCACAGGGGACAACACAATAAATCGGGAAAGTTTGACCCCAGCCTACGGAACACCCGAGATTTCCAAATATGGGCATCCGCGAGAAGAGATCGGTGGACCAATGTCAGTGGTAAGTTTTCATTTTTCTTCGTAAAATACGGCCATATGAATACCAGTCTCGAGTAGAGAATATTGCATTTGGGATTTTGGGTTCAATATCCACAAGTAGGACTGCAGATTTCCACAGAACGCCGGTGACTTTGTTGAACTTTTTGCATGTCACCGCCGGCTCAAATCTAAAAAAAAGCTCTAGTAATTTACTAGCTCCTGACTTGATAGAATCTCGTATGTATAGCGATTTAGGCTTGTTGCCGTTTTGAAAATAAAGTAAACAGAATTGTGTTCATCCGTATTGTCGACTTTGTGATGTAGGTGCGGGGCCGGGGGAGGGGGCGTTTGTTTACGTTTTATTACTCATGATATAACATGGATACTAACGTTAGTATAACATTACATTTTGTCGTTTTGTCAGACAGTTTCAATCTTTTTCGGGATAACACAGTACAGTTCATGGGATAAGCATCAAATCGGGATTCATCGGGATATCCCGCGGGATTTTTCGGGAACCATGTTGACTAAGATTTTTACAGACAGACGGTGCAGCGCATGTTTGTTTCCAAATTATGCATGATGATAACAGTAGCACAAACAAATGGTGTTTTCAATCAAATGTTGTTTTTTTTAATATCGAAAATGTTGGTGGCTTAATAATGTTTAGAACGATAACAAAATAATACAACCTTCTTGGTACGAGAATTTCTGTCTGACCTTGCGATGTGGACGGCCCGCTAAGTACTGCTTTTTATGTCACCCGACCCGCGCTATCTCAGATATAAAATCTAACACAGCCACTCGAGAAGTTCTTCTCCTAGATAAGGGAGGTCGACGCACGGAGTTGCGGAAGAGAGATTAAACATTATACAAAAGAGGGGGCGAAGCATAATTCAAAGGTTCTTTACGCCCTTGGCTTGTTTACGACGATCAAGAATTGATACATTTCGTGTTGATGTGGGCTGGGCCACGTTGCCATAGAAACGGCACGCAGCATAGCTAGCAGACCGCGCGGCCCCCAATCACAGCACACAGACGGGGACCCGCCCACTGGCTGGGCGGTAAGATTTCAAACTCAAAGGTTCGATGCTCCGCCCCAGAGACTAGAGGCCGCCTCACGATTGTAGCGATTTTCCGCCTCAGCCCTGCACGCGGCATTCTATTTTTCTCATCCCGATTTCATTCCAAGATGTTTTTCACAAGTGACATCGAGAACTAGAATGCTTTTTCCACCGGGAGAATTTTTGCCAGCCGCGTGGAAGTACTTGCTTTCAGGGTAATACGTACGTGAATGGACGTGGCCGGATCGTTGTTGATTGTTGATGCAAGGGTTTATTTATGTGTACGTGTTTGGGGAGGGGTGAGACGCACGCCCCGGGATTTTGATGGGCAAACTTTCCTAATTACCTTCGCCAAGAAGGTTATGTTTTCAGTAGCGTTTGTCTGTGTGTGTGTGTGTTTGTGTGTGTGTGGTTTAGCAAGATAACTCAAGAAGCAGTGGATGGATTGGAATGAAACTTGGTAGGTGGGTAGGTCTTCATGAGACATAGAAATGATTAGATTTTGGACCCCCTGGCAGCTTTCCTAGGTACTGCAGCTGAACTTCCGGTTTTGATATCTCATGTTCTGGACATGCTAGGGTCACGAATTTTGGTTGGTAGATAGCTCTTGGGGTAGGGAAGAAGTGACATGAGTTTGGGTCCCCTAGCGCCTTGCTGCTCTGGAACTGCAGGAGCATTTGTTGAAAAAAATTTGAAGGACAATAACTCAAGAACCGGTTGACGTATTGTCGTGATTTTTGGTATGTAGGTAGTTGAAGTGATGCTTGACATAATCAGATGGCAATTATGCAAATCAGGACTTAATTTGCATAACTAATGAGGAAATTCTGTAAATCTGCTTTGTTCGATAATAGAACTATGAAACACTTGTGACATCTACTTGAGAACGAGAAAAACATCTGAGGATATAGATTGTGTAAATGAGGACCTAATTTGCATAATTAATGGCAAATTCTTATAATTCCATAGTTGTAACTGCTGCACCCCGAATTTCATACTTGCCACATTTGGAAGTTAAGTGTAGGTGAACATCAATAAACATAATTTATTCAAATCATGACGTCATTTGCATAATTTATGAGGAAGTGCTATAATAGCCTTTTTGTTATGATAAGACTGTCATTGGATGGAGAATATGATCAACTGATATAATCCGTGCAAATGAGGCTCTTATTTACAAAATTAATGATTAAAATTGTATAATTCGTCACCCGCAAGGGTTAACATCATTTGGCGAAGGTATGAGATCATGGAACTCTTGTTTTCGTAATACAGAGACTACTTGACGCTCACGAGAACACGAGAAGACTTCAACAAGCCAATTTAGTACAAGATGTCACAATGAAACACAACTCCAGCCGGTACGCCCCATTTTATTCGATGGTTTATAAACTTGACAGATTGATTGTTTATATGTAAAACTTGCCGAAAAATTCACTGGAGACGAAGAGGTTATTACAAATTCATTCCTGCTATTTTCTTACAGTTTTGTGAGTTTTCGCTGCACAAGAGCTTTGTAAAAATTTAGCAGTTCAACTATGACCGCGTGAGGAACGCGTTATACACAATATACACAATTATGGCAAAGTTGACTGACGTCAGGGTGCTCCATTGGCCCTGCCCAGATCGCCCGAAAGGAAGTAAAAATAAACATTTGGCACGCCGCCATCGGTGACAGGACCCGCAGTAGACTTTGAGATCTCGCATCAAGTTTTTTTTTCGCTCCGCGGTACGCAGGACACGCGGATATCTCGCGGGATTTATCGGGACGTCTATCCCGAAAAATTCCGCAGCCCGATGATGCATATCCCGTAAAGTTATCTCTCATAATAAGGATAATTGGCTATAGGAATTTGACAGAAGAAATAGTGTTGGGGATTCAATGTATATGAAGAAATATGTGAACGGCAAAGGTACGAAAGTAACGGGTTCCTTACTGGGCGCCCAGTACGGAAACCATGGAGAAAATAGCGTCGATACTCGGCGCCCAGTTCTGAAGAAAGCTCTAAACTGGAATTCCAGTTCGGAACGGCGTTATTCCAGTACTGAAGCTTCGTCAGAACTGGAAGTTCAGAACTGAATCTTGTTTCGGAACTCGTTTTCCAGACCTGAACGCCCGTCGGTACTCGGACCCCAGTACTGTGTTGCGTCCCGGCTACAGGAAGGCTGGTACAAAGGTCATTCAGTACTGGTTACCCAGTTCGGAGGTCATTCAGTACTGGAAAGCCGAGTGTCGATGTACCTAAGTAACGGGTTCCTTACTGGATTGACCAGTAAAAAGTGACTCTACAGTACTGGAAGCCGAGTTTTCAAATTATTTCCGAACTGGGCTTCCTGTTCTCACGTTCTAATTGTACTGGGATGTTCCAGTACTGAATACGATATGTCTCAATACAGTAGTAGAAGTAGCCTTGCTGACATCACCAACGTATAAACTAGTCTATAACTGGTCGATGTGCCGATCTTCAACAGCCCGCTCTTCGTTGTTAGCCGCCTCAGTTTCTATCGTCTCCCGTAGACGCTTCCTGTAGGTGGTCTCGTTGTCCTCCGGCAGCCGTGTTGAACGCCTTATGTTGCGGCGGCCGTCCGGCAGCTTGCCCGGCTTTACTACCGCCCGGCAGCGCTTATAAGCCGGGCTATACTCAGGCCAAAGCGGCCAAAGCCGCTCCGCGTTTTCCAGTACGGAAGGAACGTTCAGTTCTCGGTTTCCAGAACTGATTAAGAGTTTTCCAGTTCTGAAGTCGCCTCAGATCTGGACGCCCAGTTCTGACAGAACTTCCGAACTGGAAGTTCAGTTCGGAAGGCACCTTCAGTACTGAACACCGAGTACTGAGGGAGGAACCCGTTACTTAGGTACTTTTGCATGTGAACGTCTGGTTTCACTAAATTTGTAACTTGAGTCTTATGCTTGCGTTGTTATTCTTTCATTGCATACAGACAACAGTGTTCTCTGTATAGCAAATTGGTCTGCTGTAAAATTTTGATATATATATCATATACCCCCTTTGACATATATTATATACCCTCTTGGACCCCGCCTGATATAGTTATACATTTGTATACATATGTATTATGCTTTCCTTTTGTGGTTCAATGACTTAGACATATACTAGAAAGGCCGACATTTGCTTGGGAGCAAATACAGCATATTTCAGTCCATCTCCCTCCCACGCAAAAGTGGACTATTCCAAACTTACCCCAGTGCAAAACTGGCAAAGGTTCTTAAATAAATGAATTAAATAGTAGCTATATGAGAACAAAGATGCAAGAACAAGTACTTTGAATCTCGAAAGCTGTACTAATCTTATTACAGGTATGCAAAAACTAACGATGAGATTTGATACATTTTAAAGGTCTTAGGCACATAAAATTGAATGTGTGGGTCATTACACACCACTTAGGTGCAATGTGACCTCAGGTAACCCGCAATGGAACACGTGTTCCATGGATGGAACCGGCCATTCTTTAGATAGAACATGGAACGGGTACAGCACTTTTGGCCCTTTCTTTGGGTGAACGTTAGAATGCATTGATGTGAGGAAGGTACCCGATCGAGAACCGGAAGTGACGTGAAAAGCCAGTGCGCAGACTCACAAACTTAGCGGCCATGGCATATGGGGGACGACGCAGAGCTTGTTTGCATGTTTCCGGCCGTTTTCTTCATCAAATTAGGAGATAAAGAGAAAGTTCATCAAAAGAGCACCGTGCTGTAGTTTTTAGAAATCTTGTTTGTAGTTAGCAATGCCTGTCGTCGCCCTGATGTCCCGAGGAAGTGAGTTAAAACCGCCTCCGAGCCACACAGAATCCGGAGATACCTCCACCCCTCCAACACTGAAGCGTAGAGCACATGTAGTCTATGGACAGGTATGGCAGTACAAGCTTGATAATTTGTATGTTCATGGTATGAACCAGGTAAGACACTAATGTTACAGGTGAGTTACATGTATTTCTTTTGACTTTGGCTGGCAAGGGACCAGGTGAGACACCTTACAGGCGAGTTACGTGTCTAACTTTTGACTTGGGCTGACAAGGAATCAGGTAAGACACCTTACAGGCGAGTTACGTGTATTTCCTGGGACTTGGGCGGCTGACAAGGGACAAGGTGAGACACCTGTAGGTGAGTCAGGTTTGTTATTTTTAACTAAGTTTCACGGCGGCCACGTGAAATGACGGAGACTTAGACATTACGTCTTATCGTTTTCCTTTATTTCTTTCAAGTCCCTGAATCCGGTAACGTAACTCTTCTAGAACCCCTTCCTTCGAACAGGTGTCGTTGCTACCTGTTTGAACACCTGCTTAACACCGCGTGCGCACATGGTTACCACGTGCGCACGGTGTGCTGGAACAGGCAGCAGCCCCCCTGCTCGAATATAATATATGTGTAAAACACTTCGTGACATAAGGACTGTGCAAGGTACCTTACAGGTGAGTCAGGTGTGTTTTCTTACACTTTATCTCCTGTAAGGTATCTGACCTGACTGTTCTCTCCTGCCCAGAAACACATGGACCGAAACACACCTATGTCACCTGTAAGTTATCTTACCTGGTCTTTACTGCCCAGAAACAAGTATTTTCTTATTGACATATACCAGGAATGTCAATAGCCACGCTCAGTCTTGCTTTGATTTGCACAGAAAATGAAACCTTAACAGATTAAAGTCTTAGCAATTCAGGTGCCTGATCATAATATATTCATAATATCATATGGCAGATCGTTAGCTGTTGCCTGTGAGGACAACATTACCGACACCCACCAACGGGGAGGTCATCTGCCAAGGGTGTCATCCCCCTCCCCCCTAAAGAAAGACAAAAACATTCAAGTTTAAAAAAATAAAATCCCCAAGTGCCAAACAATTATTTTTCTACATCAACCACTAACTATGCTGGCTACATTAGGCAGTAACATGGAACATTAAGTTGGGCCCCCTCGGTCACTTAGGGAGTGTAACCCTAAGCCAAGCCCAGTCACCGAGGCAGTGTCCTCTGAACAAAAACAAATGAAACAAAAAAAATTGAGGGTAATGTAATTAACGTTCCATGCTGCTGTCAAATGCAGATAAAGCATAGAAAGTGGTTGTGCCCTTGGTTCTCATGCTGCCCAAAAAAGCTGTTTGACTGTTGTTCAACTTTTGAGAAATTTTTTGAATTTGAACAGATACTTAACAACTATATAAAGTAACTAACACTTTTGGAATGTGAACTATTTACAAAGATGTTGGTTCAACAGTTAAGCATTATACCTTTAAGGGCCACATTGACTCTATTAAATTGGGCAGATAAGTTTTCCCCTACAGAAAAAAAAGGAAAAAAGAAGCATGTACTTCGCCACGTACTGTTCAGGCCTGGCATGTGGGGCAGATGTACTCATCCTCTGTAACCATGGAGGCAACATTATGAGCCGTCAGCTTTACACAGCGGTAGTGGAACCACTGCTCACAGCTGTCACACTGGATCATGGGTGATCTAGGCTAATGTACTCAAGGCACTTGCAGAATGTGGACAGTTGATAGGTGGTTTTCTGGGTGTTGGTCTGTCTTGCTTTTTCATGTGGAAACATCTCTACTCTCCCTGTTGCAAAGCACTCTTCTAAGTGCAACCTCATACTGCTTTGCTTAAATGAAATGTCCACAGGAGAGATGCCCTCGGCCAACGCCACAGCATTTGCTACTGCAAAGAGCCCACAGTCATTTCCTCCTCTCTGTGTCTGTGCACAGATGACTGTCACCGGTATAACACAGTTCTCTCCACTGGCATAGCGCCGGTACAGGCCGACCAGCTGTTGTCGAAGACTGTGCTTCATCGATGGACGGAGTGAATCATACACAGTTATGTTACCACCTACTGATGTTGATAAGACCCAGTGGCCTTCCACATGGTGTGCCTGAATGCACTCAGCTGATGCTGGCACAGGTGCTTGGTCGTGGGCAAGTGTGATGGTATCATTGAACCCTTCGATGAAGGGATATTCGTTTTTCAGTAGTTGCTGAGCACAGTTAATGTGCCGGTCAGTCAGCCACTGCCCGGTCTGTAGAATGTTCTTGTCACCTTCATTCAGCATTGTTTTGCCAAAGTGTTCGAACCCTGTGTTTGCCTTCTTCTCACCATCTTCGGGACAGATGTTGTCAACTTTTTCATCCTCATCACTCAAGGTGATGGGCACCTCTGCCATACAAACAGAAACATCTTCTTTGTCTGTAACAGTCTCGAGGTTCAGGGACACCCGAAAGTTCGCCCTCATTGTCTCTGCATGGTGACCAACTCTTTTGGTGAACGGGTGTTTTTGGGGCACTCGTTTAATGGGAAGAGTCCCAGATTGACCTGGATCCAGCTCAGTTTCATGACCACTTTCTGCCTTCCTTTTCTTAGGTGTCAGAGTCAGAGGGAGCGTGTCATCGTGGGGCACGTGTTGCCTCATGTCATCCTTGATGTTAGTCAGTTGCTCCTTTAGGTGTTCCAGGTAGGTCTCATCTTGGAGATGGTACGTGAGATCAGTGACCTCCCTCAGAATGCTGGCGCATTCTCTTCTCAGTTTTGTCTTATTCTGTCTCTTTCTTGGGGGGAGGGAAGCAGAGCATAGCTCTTCATCACAGGGCAGTTCAGGAAGACCACATGATAAGGGCACATCCATTGGTACTGTGATTGATTCTGAACTGTTACCTTCACTGTACTCAGTACGTGTTTGTGCCAGGCATTCTTCATCCAAAGAGAATATTGGGTTGTCTTTGTAGCATCTAGCAAGACTATGCCATCCGCATCCTGGCACGTGGTGGAATACAGCACACATATGCTTGCAAGGGAGCTTGTGTCGCATCCAGTCTTTGCAAGTACAAGATGGCATGATGTCACAGGTACCAAAGCTTTGGTGTGTGGTGGGCTTGCTCTCACTCTTCACGTTGAACGTGCCGCTGCTGACTGCAGTGACATCCTTCTCTTGATACAATAACGCCTCTTGGAGTCGGGTTTACGGAAAAAGGAGTCCAGTCCGATTGGCGGAAAAAGCAGTCCAGTCCGATTTTGGGGTGGAAAAAGCAGTCCGGTGGTTTCTACGAAATTTTACGAAAGACCATAGGCACAATTTTTTCTTGTGTGTGTGTACTTCTAGTTTCTATGGGCACTTCGAGTTTCTATGAGTACTTCGAGTTTCTATGAGTACTTCGAGTTTCTATGGGTACTTAGAGTTTCTATGAGTACTTAGAGTTTGTATGGGAACTTAGAGTTTCTATGAGTACTTAGAGTTTGTATGGGAACTTAGAGTTTCTATGAGTACTTAGAGTTTGTATGGGAACTTAGAGTTTCTATGAGTGCTTAGAGTTTGCATGGGAACTTAGAGTTTGTAACTTACATATCATCATCATGCCTCCGGATTATTACTTACATATAAGTAATAATAATTAGTCAAAAGATGAAGCGGTCAACTGACGAGATTTCCAGGGCCGATCCTGCTTGCAAGTAGCCTGATTAAATCGCTTTACGGTTGCCAGCCGCCCAACATCCAGTCGGCCCCTGCTAAAGCCACGTATGGCAGACTTTGCATTACACCGACAAGCATGTAAGTACCGGAAGTACAATTGTAAGAAAGAATCCCTTAATAATTAACTTTTGTTTATTGTGGATAGGTGACCTGTATGTATAGAAACTACTTGTCGGTGGTCCCAAGAGGTGTAAATCGGTTGCCTGAATTACAGGTTAAGGTGGCATATAGTGAGTCACATATATGCTAATTCAAGTTCCCATACAAACTCTAAATAGTCATAGAAACTCTAAGTACCCATAGAAACTCGAAGTACTCATAGAAACTCGAAGTACCCATAGAAACTAGAAGTACACACACAAGAAACAATTGTGCCTATGGTCTTTCGTAAAATTTCGTAGAAACCACCGGACTGCTTTTTCCACCCCAAAATCGGACTGGACTGCTTTTTCCGCCAATCGGACTGGACTCCTTTTTCCGTAAACCCCTTGGAGTCTTGATCTGATATGGCTGACAACACCTCTGGGTCTGTCCCACAAGAACTTTGGCACATGTGCATCGTACTCGCTGAAGAGTGATGAGCTTCTCACATTGAGTTGAGTATACCTTGAAGATAAAAAAGAGGAACATAGTTTTTTAAATGTTAGAGTTGAGAGGACATACTTTTACAACCATATTAAATCTAAAGCAATACCTTTGTTTACTTAAGTCCTTAAAGGAGGTTTTTGACAAGCAACTCTGTCTCAAATGACCAAAAATGTTGTATGATTCTAGGCATCTGTCATATATGTAAGAAAGCATGAAATAACATGTAGAGTCTCAGAAAATACAGCTATTAAAGATAACAAAAATTGTGATAATTTTTGTTCAACTTACTTCAGATGTGCCCTTGGCAGGAAGTCGGTGACCAACCTTGTCAGTAGTTCACTGAGACTACAGTTCCTGAAGCCTTGAAGGTGCGAGTACTTGAGTGTTTCATTTTGGCGCTCGATGCCATTATTCGTGTATATGGCCACTTGTAGTCCATCATCTCGAAACACATGGACCCATCTCTATACAAAGCAAAATGATAAATCAGAAATACAACAGGAAGATTTTCGTAAAATACTTAATGTAACATGGCAATGGCAGTAGCTGTCTAGTGAGCTACATGGAGTAAAAACTAGGAGAATAAAGAATGACATTGATTTCTAGATAATTATCATAAGGACACACATGTACCAAAGTTGTATGAATCATATAAGACTGCATGTAAGTCTTGTTTTTTTTGCATTCTTTAAATTTGATTTGTCTTTCTTGTCCAAGTACGTTTGAAGTATCATATTCCTCTGACTCACTGCTGCATAATAGCATTATGCACTACTTGCAGGTGGGGAAAAGGAGTGTATTCATGTTACTGCAAGTAGTGCACTGTGCACCCCAGACTTAGAAAGCAGTCTCACAACTAGATAATCATGTACATGTACTAGTATATCCCATATTGGACATGACATGGAAGACGCATCACTGACTGTGTACACACCTTAGCTTCTGGAAGCCATGTGTCTGAAAAACAATGCCCTTAGCTTGGCATTCTCTTTCCAGATCACTGAGTCTTGCAGGGAGGCAAGACGGGTGTAGTCTCGTCTTGTGTTGTTGAGCCTGCTACACCTCTCAGAAGCTTCAGAAGGGCGTCTTGGACATCAGCGACTCCGTTCTCTCTCTTCCTGCACCACTGCACCCATGCTTTTTCACGATGGAAGTCACAAAGCAGGACTTTGGACTCTGGAGAAAACATGAAAGTAAAGGTAATACAATGTCAGTTAAAGGCCACAGCAAGTAAATTTTATGGATGACATCCGCGCGCGCATTAATTTTCGTCTGATTTTGGAAAAAAAACAAGAAATTTTGTTGCCTTCTGACAGTAGTCAACATGCTGAAAATGGGCAAAGGTGTCTGTTGCCATGCCGGAAGGTGGATGGCAGATAACTAGGAAGAGAGGAGACAAGAAAAGACTCGGATTTAATGTTTTGTTTCTTACTTTGATGCAGTGATATGTGATGCTGGCTGTGTATATGTGATTTTCCTACTGAATCATGATCAAAACCGTTTGTACAATGATTGAGTCAAAATTTTACATTGTAGGAACCTTGTTTTTTTCGGCCCGCCTTGTTTTCTTTTCGCCCGCTCGCATTAGATTTGGAGTCTGGGGAGGATGTCATCCATAAAATTTACGTGCTGTGGCCTAACTTAAAAATTAGTATCTAGTACATTGTATAGATAAGATATGTTGATTATATTTATTTATCTCCTAACATCTTGTAAAGAAAATTGATACAATGTAAGTACATTGAATGTAGAAAAATGCAAACAAATACAGTGTTCGAAATACCTCACGGTCTGCAGTCTGCAATCTGCAGATAGATTTTCAAGATTGCAGAAGAAAAATTTATACAATCTGCAATTTTGCAGAAGGAAAAATAGACTCCAGATTCAAGCAAACTACAACTCTCTGGCCCCAAGGACAGACAACACTTAAGCTCCTGTTTTGAAGCAACAGGAGCTTCTTCACTAATTTGCATCATCCTTGTCTTGACTTGTCTATCTTTTGTTTAGCCCTTTGGACTTCCAAAAAATTTGTCTTCACTAATTTGCATATGAATCAGTAGTTCGTCCTTATAAACCTGCAATTCTCTTAGTGTCACTGACGAAAGGTAGTTAGTCTAACCGTTTCAGGTAGCATCAAAATCATATCGAGTTGCTTAAGAGTTAAGTACTGTTTTTTGGTGTGTCTTTTATTAGTATGTAGTGTGGAAGGATGATATGTGGGTGTGATTACTAGTACATTTACAGGTAAGGTACATGTATAATTATGGGTTCACCACAAAGTGGTGAACCCATATTGCTTTTTCTGGTGTTTCTTCTTCTTCTCCTGCCATTTTTTAAATGGATTCAGCTTCTTCATTTTAGGGCCTAAGGTCCTGAAATTTGGTATGGAGGTACAGTGGGCAAATACCCCTAGGCGCTTTTTAAATTTTTGTGATGCAGGCTTTTAGAATGGTTTTATTTGAGTTTTTTGGCTGTGTTATAGCAAATGTATTACTGTGTTAGTGTGCCGTGTTTACCACGTCTGGGCATGAGTCATCACAATGGAATGCAGGGCATCAACCAATAGGCATGCAGCTTTCCTCTATTCTTCTTGCTGATTGGCTGTTGGGATTTAACTTGATTAACACCTGAACAGAGCATTTCCATACTGACAGTATCTCTGTATTCAAGTGTTTTGGTAGGTATTTCAAGCTTCTCTGCTCCAGCATTGGAAAGCGGGGCATGAACGTTTTTTTTATTTTGAAAATCAACAGTTTGCATTATGCAATTAAAAATCCTAACCAATAAAGTAGGGAATAGCTATCCAACTGTTGTTTTAGTTGTATGTTACTTCATATTATAGTTATATCAATGTAAATCATTGTTTTCCCTTGTGTTTCTCATTCTTTCCCTGCCATGTCGTAAAATGTGGTGAACCCATCGCTGTATTTGCTCCAAAGCAAATATTGGCCTTTCTAGTTTTAGTTGTAGTAGCTTGTAGTGGGAGACAGCGGTGAAAGACCCGTGAAGATACCAGTAAATGATAAATTTTCTGTGGAAATTTTCTATAAAGTCTGAAATTAAAAAGAGTGATAGATTAAACTTAAAAGAATTCCAGTAATGCTACAGATTTACAAAGCTATATATGATGTAACAAAGACATTAATGGTTTGAGAAGGTTGCAGTATGGAGGCTTGTGTATTTGCAGAAAGTATTTTCAAATTGCAGAGCAAAATTTTGACTCTTCTGCAATATTGCGGAGCACTGAAAAAAGTATTTCGACCACTGAAATATGATTTTTTGTAGACACCTTATCCCAAAGAATAAACTGAGCTTTAAATTTAAACATGCTATTGTCAGTCTCACCCTGGAACTCCTCCTCCAGGGCAGCAATCTCGGCTGAAGAGAAATCAACCATAAAATGGCTTGGATGCCAGTTAGGGTTGAAGTCCTTAAAGACATGGAGAGCCTCCTTGATGGCTGCTATGGACTCTTCTTGTACGATGAAGAGTCCTACCACAACATAACTCACATTCGCTCTGACACATAGGAAGAAGAGAGGTACAGAGTATCGACAGGTTCTGTACGTCGCATCTAGCAGACACATCTGCTGCCCATAGATGTGCATCAGCCGTTTCTGCCAGCCGGTCTGATAGCAGAACAGAAGCTGTGTTGTTTCCGCGCTAGGTCTGAACTTTAGGCTGCTGTCTGCTTCCCATCTGGAGGCTAAGATCTAAAAAAGATGGGAATAGGGCATGTATCAATTACCAAACAAGTATTTTTTGTCATATTGGGGAAATATGTCCTATTACCTTTAAGCGTACATGTAAATTGCCAAATGTTTTATCAGCCTTTTTACAAGACTCCCTATAACTGATGCTGCTGACAGTCTGTAGTATATGATTATGAATAACACTTAACAGCCACAGTTGACAGCCAAACTACGAGTCTACGTTGAGTCTGTTTATTACCTGCACGTTAGCCCCCAGGTCATTATTTGACTCTCGCATTGACTCTTTGGCCTTGGTCATAATATTCCTTATATCTTGATCAGTAGGATGGTATCGTCGTCTGGTCTGAGGTGGTGGCGTCTCATCTCGAAACAGGTCCTGTTCCACATACATGACGAGGTGCCGTCTTATCTCACTCAGCTTCCTGGCCCCAGCTAAGGTGAGGTTGACAATGAGTTGCTCGACTCTTGGATCAATACCTTCCCGCAGCTCAGCTACCTATACAGTAATAACATTCAAGATAAAAATGTATATGTCTGACTCAATGTTTGTCGATCTTCCTGCCGGGTTTCCGGAAAAGGCTGTGCTGTGCATGTGCATGTGCTGTGCCCCTCTTCAGGGCCCCAAGCCATCACATGTTAAATTTAAAGGGGCATTATGTGACTTTTTGACAATACAAAAAGTATATTTTCCATTCTTTTCTTTACATAGTACGTTGACTTAACCCTTTAGTGTTCCAGAATAATACGCAGCAACAAAAATACAACATCCTTGCTCCCTTATGAGCTTACAAAACTGTGAATGATCTTCTATTCAAACCTCTGGCCACACCGCACATACATGTATGGTTAGTCTCCTGCAGGTAAGCTGGACCCTCTATGGCCGGCCAACTCCTCTGGCCAATGATGTTCCCCTTAGCCAATTTCTACTATTTATTCAGCCTGCAAAGGAGTCTGGTGGAGACTAACATATGGTATTGTCCACATATGGTACATGTACCTCCCAGTGGGGCGTCAGTTGACAGCTTTGTACAAATTTCTGAAAGACCTCATCATTTGATTTTTTATCTCTTTTGAAGGGATAATGGCACAGTTTATTGATACCCAATAAGATACACTAAGTTGATAATCATATTCCGCTTCATGTCAAAGATATGAGTGTTTCCAATTAAGAAGTCAATCTTGTGACATGTGCTCCTGTCTATCTATCCTGTCATGCCCGACCAATTAGCCACACTAGGGGGGCCAACCACTGCCTGTTGTTGTTGTTGTTGTCCTGAGCAAACTGGCGGGAACTGAACAAGAACTGTTTGAACGCACAAAATATACGTCAGAAATGTGAAATAATGACACAAATGTGTTAAAAAGTGATAGTAACTGTTGATAACACCGAAATTTAGCATAATTAGAATATTTTAAAATTTTTGCGTAAAAAGTTTCATAATGCAGCTTTAACATGTGATGGCTTGGGGCCCTGAAGAGGGGCACAGCACATGAACATGCACAGCACAGCCTTTTCCGGAAACCCCTTCCTGCCTACATTTTGCACACATGCATTCTTTCTTCCTTTAGGCCACACCAATCTGATTTGTTGTTAGAAAGATTAAATGTGGGAATTTGTGTAATGGGAGACTTCAACAGATTTGAGATAAAAAAAATTTATGAACGGAAGTCTGTACCAAAATCTTCTGGGCTCTGAGTCAGTAGACTGGGTCAGAAGGGGGCCTGGCTTGTACTCTCCAAGCAGAGGTTGTGGGGGAGTAATCAATTTTTTGTCTGTACCCTCACCGACGGTGTCTGTGGTCGGTGACCTTCTCTGGCTAATGGATACTGGCCAATTTGATACTTCCTTTTTGCCACCGAAAGGGGTCTGCGTGGAGAGCACTGGCTTGTGCAGTTGTTGACTGTGGAGCAAGTGAGAGGTGCAGCATTTTTTTGGGGGGGGGGTGGATTTTCCTCTAGAGAAATTAAAGTTATGGTCAGGTGTGGTTGCTTACAAAATCTTTGCACGGGTTGCTTCGGGTGCAACAAACTGTTCTCTACAGCAGACCAAGTTACTCCGTGGCATGCTATCTCTCTATTTGGCCAATTTCTAGTCTTTCCACCCAGTTCCAGCCACCTCATGAAGCCTGGCAGAGGCTACTATTGGATACTGTCACAGACTTGTCACCAAAGGGATCTGAGATTTGGCCTATGGTGGATCTTGCTAAATTGGTGATCATAAAATACTTTTCACCCAATCAGATTCAGAGGACTTCATTCACACTTTTGGCACACAGATCCAAACTACTAGCATCCAATTCTATTAGGTGGCTCAGAAATACATTTGAAATTCTTTGTTCAGTCCTCTCAAGTCATCTCTGAAAACACAATACAAGTATATCTAGGATTATTGGAAAAATGAACAGTTAAAGTTTTACTTAAATGGTCCACATATAATATTATGCAAATAGGCATGGTGTAACAGTTGCAAAGTTAAACTCGTATCCCACTGTCATTGAGTCATTCCTGCAGAATTAAGTCATTCCTGCAGAATTTCCTGCAGGAATTCCTAGAGGAAAGAGGACATTCCTGCAGGAAAAGTGGAATTCCTGCAGGAATAATTTTTCCTGCAGGAAGAAAAATTTCAAAATGAATATTCATGAAAGTTCTTATCATATTTGACAACTATACATCATACTTGTTAATCAGATATAAAGACTTTGTACCAAGTGTTTTTATATTGAAAATATCAGCACTTGTCAAAATGGGAAAAGTGGAATTCCAAACTTATATTAGAGACTGTTATATGTAATTTGAGTTGAGAAAACATGTTTCATGTAGGTCTGAGGTCTGCAAACTCTTGTTGATTGATCTATAATTTATATAAATAAAAGGAACACAAGGCATTGCGTAGGGTGAGTTTTGTACACATATTTGGAAACTCTGTATACTGTCTTAAAAAATTGAAGTGTTGATTTGACACAGCTTTGGATCACTGTAACAAAAAGAATAGCATTTTTTTGCATAATTACCGGGCCAACAACTGGGTGGTTTTTGTGTTCTTCCAAAGACGGAAACACTGTGTGGAATTGGACCTGTGATTCCACTGTGCCAGGGTTTGCTGCTATTTCAGCCTTTAGTGCTTTTGAGGCCTCCCTTTTCTTACTCTTGGTGTTGTCAGTAATCTGGAAATTGAAAAGAGACATTTGCATAATCAGATTAAAACAGTTTATTACTGCAGCACCAAAATGTTAGCAGTCATGGTAATAAAAAATGGCAATCATGAAGTTCAAAGGAAAAGTGCATTTTGTATTTGACAGTGCTTTACCTTGAACCCAGGGAATTTCAGCACCTGGACTACCTGTAGTTTGACGGGACAGTCTCTCTTCTTACTGGGTTGGATCATCTGCCTTCTCTGGAGGAAGACGTGATCTTGAAGCTGGTAAGAGAAAAATGATATTTTATTTGCATACATTGTTTCTTCATACCAACTCCAGTTAAAAAATCTTAGCTTTGTTGTCCTAACTCAATCAACCCTGGCATTCTGGCAACCATCTGTTTCTCACAAAGATTTTATGGTCTGTTATACAACGTAAGGTCTCAAACCAAAAGTTTGTTTTTAAGAGCTATCAGTATCATTCCACCATGCACAACAGCCTATTTAAGCAATTTTGAGTGTTGCCTCACTGCTTCCCGGCATAGTCCTTGTAAGGCCACACCAAGTAATTTGACGTCCCTGGAGACCCTAAATCTTATGTGAGAGCGAAAAAAAAAAACAACAAGAAGGGCCGAAAAACAAGATGCATAGATTTGCAGTATACTAAGGGACAAATATTAGGACACAAAATGAATGAGATGATACAGTGTAACAACCAACAAGTCTTTTATTAGGCTTGAAAACAGCAATAAATCAGTGGAACAGCAGTTGTTGTTCTGTCCTGTTTCTTTCCTTTCATCACATCTTCCAATCTTGCCATTTTTGGCACTGTCGTGAGTCTTTGGTCATAGTTACAGGAAGCGAAATTTGTTTTTTTTTTCTTTGAACAAGCCAAAATCAGTGCGCGCTTAGATGTCATCCATAAATTTTACTTCGTGCCGCCTAAAGACATAACAGTATTTGGAATTTTAATTGACTCTGATTACAGTCATAGTCTTACATTTGTATGAGGACGACTGACAGTAATTGACAAACTAAATGGATTATTGCCAAAGTTTCTGTAGCATTTATTTATGTCCGACTTGCTTGCCCTCCTTACTACACTCTACTGCAAGTACATGTACAAATTTCATGTTTGTGTGTTTCAAATATTCATGTTTGTGTGGATATTTAGAACGCCAGACCACTGTCATTTCTTACCGCTTGTGTATCCTTTTGTGCACGATACCGTTCTTTTTGGCGAATGGCCCTATCTGGTCCTTGGTGACAGTCATAGGTTTTTGTTCCCACCAGTTGGAATGGCATCCCATCAAACCTCACTCCTTTCAGCTCCCAGTAGGTCTGATTTGTCGGATCAGGTTTCACATCTGTATTAACAAATCATTACTTCTGTTGTGTACATAAACTCTATGAATCAATGATCCGTTATGAAAAATACTAACAAAAATGCTTTGCTTTCCAGATTACAACAGTAACCTTGATGCTGGATGGAAATACATGTACATTGAAGAAAATGTGCCTCAAACCAGTTCAGCTTCCAGAACCTGTCACTAAGTCAGAACAAGAGGGACAGACCATCATTCTGTACAGAATATCAGGCTATAACTGGTTCATTTATTCTGTACATTTTTAGGTTGTTATATTTCACTGTTTATAGGAGTTTGTTTTATCTGGCCAGGTGTTTTATTTCTTATTTCACATAGAAGTGAAGAGATGTCAATGATTCAGCACAACAACATACTAATTTACGTGCCCACACTCTTTTGAAGACATCAAAAATGCTTTTGATTGGTCAGGTGTACTATAGTCTATATTGTGCATAGCCTGAAGATGAATATCACACCATGAAATAAGTTATAATCTTGTTTACCAACAAGACACACTCTTTCATAATGGAAGTGTAACACATGCCCGTAGCCAGAATTTTACATGGGGGTTAGTCCTGCACTGAAAGGGACCAGAAAGAGCTGAAGGGGGGTCCGGGGGCATGCTCTTGGACATTAAAAAATGGACCTTTGAGCATGTGGGTTCGTCCGTAACAACTATGTTTGTATTTGCCATTTGTGCATGTACAGTCCAAGTTCATTATTATCATTTAGAGACAATTCCCTGTTTCTGAAGTCTACTGTGATACCTCAGGGCAGGTGTTCATTGGGAGTAAACTAGCATCAAATTGCAAAGATCATTACTGAATATTCACTACTACTTTATTATTCACGGTTTTCGCAGTCACTTCTGTACCATGACTTATTATTACCACAAAGAATTCTCCAACTTCTTTCTTTTGCATCTTCTGCCACTACAAAAATACATGTTGTATGTCCATTTTTCTCTATCTGTGAACTTTTGCTACCGCAATAAAGTGATTGACAGTGGTAGAGTGCTAGAGGCACGGGAAATATTCCAATGTCAAAGAAGCATATGTGAAAAATAAAGGATAATTTTTTTATTGTTTGGTGTCCATGCTCTATGTGCCCAGTCATTTCAACAACCTTCCTGATTGCAAAAAGTATATATCAGAATGAATGAAACATCCTATTTTGCCCAGGTTTTTTAAAATTTTCTTTTATTTGCATGCTGGCCTTAGTTCTGAGCTTTTCAGAGGAGGAGTGGCCTAATGATGTTAAACTTGACCCAGATTAGGAAGATGTAACTGCCTTTTTAATGTAGCTGTATAGTTCAGTTGAAACAGTAAATGCAATATTTTTTTTTTACGATCATATAAGTAAATGCATTGGGTTTCCCCTCTGAAGTTCTGTTATTTTGGTACACCTGTCTCCTACTCGCCCGTTTCCAATTAACGTAGTTACGACTCGTCTACAAAATCGTGCGAGGTCTACCTTGATCTAATCAAAAGATGAGTAAACATATTATTTCCATCAATTCAACTGTGCGTAACTTCAAGCATATTCTGCTAACACTTTCATCCCAAACGCACGCACTGACTTGTACGCTCCGAACAGCTATTGTATAACGCTAGACATACTGTCACGTATTGAATTTCGCGCGAAAAGTTGACGGAAAGAAACGCTGAAAGAAAACTCACTCATTTCCCCGAAATCCTTCTCTTTTCGGCTCACAATATATTTACACATAGTGTCCCTGACTATTTCCGACAACTTTTCTTCAAAACTGTGCACAGTTGGGAAGATATGATAGTCCGCATCCGCGGCAGAAGTTGTCGTCTGCTGCTGCTTGGCAGCCATGTTGTCCGCCAGCGTCGTTCCCAGGTTGCGCCACCTCGTACGCTGGGTACGAGCGTGACGTCATTTCCGCTACGCTCTATATGCCTCACACCACTACTACCTAACGCTCACCCTTTCTTTGCTGAAAATAGCCATTAAAGTCCCCCAAATGAGTCATTTGGAAGTGGTGTATGCCAAATACATGACTGCTATTCTGTAGACACACGTTCAAGGTACCCTTATACCGAATGTCATATCATTTGGTTCAGGATCCAAAAATCCATTTTTTGTCGAAAAATGCCCCAAAAAACCTTCATAAAAATTTTCAATGGCATGTTTCAAAAAAATGAAAAAAAAAAAACGTCTGGGGGTATTTGCCCACTCTACCTCCATGCCAAATTTCAGGTCATTTGGCTGAATGATGGCGGAGTTGAATCCCTCTGAACGAGTGGCAGGAGGAGGAGAAGGAGGAGAAACATGAGGGAACACAATATATTTCATCCATACCATGGTATGGACTGAAATATAACTATCAGTTTCTGTTCACTTTTGAAACGCTTACTCTCCTTATTTGTATCCTCTGCTAAGGGACTGTACGATATTTACCGGGGGGGGGAGGGCCGGTCGTTTGAGGGGGGAGGGCCTAGGAAAAAAAATTGAGCCGGGGGAGGGCCTAGGAAAAATATTTTAATTTGGGGGAGGGCCTAGGTAAAATTTTTTTCAAGATCCCTTTAATTCTACAACGTTTTTATACACTTTCAAAACATGATTAACGTCTGTCCCATACATTTTGTAGCGATTTGCCGGTCATTGGAATCGGCAGAATTTTACGTTCCAATAATATCCATCCCTATTATTATAATGTATTCGCCCAAATCTCCCACAGTCCTCTTCAAAAACTTGCATTTTCGCCAGGCATTTGCAGGCGAAACTGGACTACACAGCCAAATTACATGGATTAAAGTCGTGTCAATCGCAGCTATGGAAACGATACCGATCAAAAATGTAGGGAAGGCTTGTCGGAAGATTTTGAAAATTAATTTTCGCCGTTCAACGCACCCTTCCCAGTGGTGTGCGTGCGTCGGCAAAGGTGACCCGCTGGTCCCGCCTCAAACTTCTCGGCGTGGATGTCGGATGTCGACGGATTAATTTGGTATTTTTTTTTAACCAAGGACTATTTGAACATTTATATCTATGTCCCTCCAAAGTTAATTGAAAACAACACGTAACTTGGCAATATTGTTTCCCTGTTTGTAATAAAATTTACGCGGAAGAAGTTCGTGGACGAAAGGTAGGCTAGATTTATTTCGATTACACTGACTGACCGTAACGTTACTGACTTTAATAGCTCGATGTACCAGCGAAATTTATGCTGCCAAATTTGCCCCTCAACATGCAAAACATGGGTTGAAATTCAATATTTTTTCCGGGGGGGCCATGCCCCCCCCCCCGCCCAAAAGTCGGGCCTACTCGGGCTCTAGTGGCGCCTGCGGCGCGATCGCTCGCGCCTTCGGTGCTTCATGC